TCGAAATATCCTTCGACTTTATTTCCAGTCAATGCGACTTGTGATTGTGCTGTGCAGACACCCATTTCGAGTGCTGTTCAACTTCCTTTGATTCCAAAGAAGTGTATTTTGTTGTTAGTGATAACAATTTTTACTTGTGTTTATTTGAAGCACTTGGCGCAAATCTGATTTTCTCCAATGTTTTTGAATTTAACTTCTCTGGTGCGTTCTTGTAATCATTTGACGAGTTTGTCAAATAAGAGTAATAAATATGATGGTGTTTCGCATAAGAACTTTTGATTTCATTTTTTTTCATCTATCGCTGTCCGTGGTTAGTTTTATATTGTGCAAAAAACAAACAACCCGTGAATGTTGTGATTGATTAATAAATTCGTGTTTAAATATCTCCATGTTTTTCTGTTTTTAATTATTGTGTTTCTTATCGATAAAAAATACGATTAGATATAAATATCACGCTGACATTCAAACACTTTGAATCTTTTCATATATTTTTGACTTTTTTAGGGTTTATAATTTATTCCATGAACACCAATTGTTTGTGGTTTATTTTTAAAAACCCAATATTAAACAATATCACATAATTAACCTGCCTTTATTTTATATTATAAATTGACAACCAACGACATTGTTTCTTTTTAGTGTTTTCATTTAATTTTTATTCAAACTAAAAGAATAAAAGTGTATATTATTAAAAAATACAATTTGCTTTATTGTGAAAAAATATAATGTTGATTTTTTAGTAAAAATTAAATAAAAAGTATTGGGTTATAAATATGCTTAAAATTATTTTTAATATGTTTTCAAATGTTATTTTTTACTATTAAGATTGTAAATGAAATTTATTGTTTATGTGTGTTTATTTTTAAAATCATTTTAACTGGTATTTATAAAGTTAATAATGTTGATTTTTTTCAGTATTTATTAAAACAAAAACACATTAAAATAGTACAATCTTATCAACATACAAGACAAACGATTTTATTTTTATTTCAACTAAATTACTAAATTGTAAAAAAGAAAATTCTTTATCAAAGAGAACAGAATCATTTAATCAAAAAAACACATTTATTTTTTAATTAATAATATTTGAATAAACAGGAACAACAAAACAAATATCAGGATTCTATTTTAATTTTTAATTTAACAAACCTAGTTATTTCAACATCAATTTTAAATAAAGTCTGTCTAAAAACGTTGTCCATTTGACAAAAAATTACACGAAATATGTTTAAAAATTTGGGAATTAGGAAAAAACGATCAAATCCCGATAAATTATGAAACAACGTTTTGGGAGTGTTTCGAATTGTTTCCAGAAATATTCCAGTTTTGATGGTCCAAAAAATGCCTGGGAACGTTGGAGAGCGGACAACAATTTCAGATTAACTATATATTAATTATTAATTATTAATTATTAATTATTAATTATTAATTATTAATTATTTATTATTTATTATAGTAATTTAATAGTAATATTATAGTAATTTAATAACTGGAAATCTAAGTAAATAGTTTCTTTCTCGTTTACAACATGCATAAAAATATATCAGTAAAGAAGTGATGAAGGTTTATAATACTGTAATGCGCAGATTTGAGTTGGTCATGCTATTATTTATTACTTTGATTGGTTATATCATATTTTATTAAAAAATAAAAATATGTTTTTTTTTAAATTAATTTAACTATTTTAAATTTTTAAAAATTAAAATAATTTTATTTAATTTTTCCCAATTCGTCATTGTTCTCCACATGAACAGAGAGTCCCGAAGGCGAAGAGATGGTTGAAGGAGAAGACTGCTCCGAGCCCATGTAATCCAATAACAAATCAAATTGGAAATGCATAATTGAATTCTTGTCGTATATCACAACCACTTTCATGATGTTAAAAGAAGGTGTTTTTAAGTTTTAGTGTTAATAACTATTCTAATTTTAATATTTATAATAATCTTTAAATAAACCACATTTTTTTATTTTTTATTTTTATTCATTTTTTTATAAAGTTACAGTAGATAAAAAAATAAATATTTATTACAAATTATTCTTTTATTCAATAAATGTTACCTCCAGTCAGTAAAAACCAAGCGATACTCAGGCGATCACACGTATATCGCAAACAATCTATATGTGCACCTGTTTAATACACTTTTAAGTCCTACCTTGGCGCTGATCCCAATGAACGCCCCTGTCTGAAAAGGGAACCACATCCGTCAAAACAGTACGGAAAAGGAAAATGGGTGATATGGTACGCACAAACAGTGACTTAAAGGCGGAATTCATTCAAAAAACACTCGCGGCAAATACTATATTTTGGTTAAGGTGGTGGTGAAACAAGTGTGTTTAAATAAATAAATACGAATAAAAACTAGAGTTTATTATGTTCATTTTTATTTATTCATTATTTTATAATAAGTAATTTATAATATTATAGTACCGAAAAATAGTTCCAGATACAAAAATAATGCATTTTTATTCAAAAAAATTTATTTTGATTAATTTAGGTAAAAACCCAATTATTTTACATAAATTTAAAAAAAAACAAGACTATGGTAATAAAACTCAAAAGTGTTGTTTTTATTATTTATTCTTACTTCGGGTTTAATTATTTTCGAATGAATTAAACCCGATTATTTAATTAAACCCGCACTGGAATTAAACCAGTCCCATAAAAAATTGGGTTTTTAATTTTGTAACAAAATAAGTGAGTCAAAAATCCATTTATTTTCAATGATATATTTTATCATTTTTTTATATTACAAAAATAATTGTTAATAATTGTAATTTATAAATTTAATAACAATTAACAATTGTCAATTACACTATCCTCTTTTTTTTAAAATGAAAACCAAAAAGAATCAATAACAAGTTATTCTAAGAACTATATTTGACACCACAAAAAACGACTTTTCATTTAACTCCATAATTAAAAAAGCAATTAAATAGTTTATAAATATGATATAATTATAATATTTATATAGAAAAAGTTAATTGTTTAGCAAACGAAGGACTTTACACCGAGAAATAAAACAGACTGAAATAATAATCTTTTAATTTCCATGTCACAATCAACAATAAAAATCTGTCCGAGTTGTCCCCTCTCACCTATACAATGTTCCTCTTCAAGTATCATTTCACTTGAAGGGATTATTATTCCAGAAAACATTACAGCAGAATTTATTCACTTGCAAGCATTCAATCCATCACCAAGAATACTTTCTCGAAGATCGATAATACCTCTCATTAACGCATTACAACTGACCGAGTCACAAGAAGAAAATTTTGAGTATTTTCCTGTTCGTGATTATGACTCACAGTACAAATCGGTAAAAGATAAATTTGAACCAAATTTATCACCACTAAGAACATTAGGAAAGTCACAAAGTCGGACTTCTAAAAGATGTTCGCGACAATTGGAACGAACCTTTTCATTGACTAATATGATACCTTCCTATGATTATACAATTCCCATATGTACTGAATTACTCAATGATATACCTCCCTTCACTTTTGAGGAGTTTGTAAGCTCTTTGGGTAATATGAAACAACTGAAAGAGAATTATGGATTTCTTAAAACTAATAATTTTGTATGTGAGGTGCACAGACATTTAGAAGCGAGTCAGAAGGTGGCACTCAGTATAATGTTACTTAAAATGACATCATCTTCCGTATTTAGAACGTTTCAGTTGGTCGATATTAATAAGGAGAAATACACTGATAAAGATATTAAGAATCTACAACACCACATCTTGGAGTTGCCAAACCCAACAAAACAGTTGATGAGACGATTCACTGAAATAACAAAACATGTGAAGGAGATGGCTTACGTGTTCTCTGGCTTTGTAGTCTCTGACGATAGTAAAGAGGGATTTGTTAATAAACTAGGCTATGGGATACTCAAGACAGCACTGAGATATGAGTCCTTTGTACTCAAAGGAATAGACGAAACGGGAATCTACGACTTCAAAGAGAGTAGAATGAAAGTTGCGTTGTGTTTAAGCGTGGAGACATTGTCGACTCTGTTGTTTAGTAAAGACTCCGTCTCACTTGGGTATGTCAGATTCTATATGACAACACTCCCATATTTCACAACACAGAAAACAGTGTTGCAATTCATTAAAGACAACGTTCAGTTGACAACTACGGACTGCGCCAATGTCTATTTCTCTGTTTGTAAATCATTTTTAGAGTATTGGGGTGACATGTTCACTGAAAGTCAAGTTGAATTCATGGGGAAGGTCTCTCTCAACTACTTCACTGAAAAGGCCAAAGGTGTCACGGACGTAAAAGGTGGGAAAATACCACAAAACACATGTGAGGAGATCACAGGAATGATGTTCAAAGAACTTCGAAGGATGAAAGTGCAAGACCTTGTTCTTCGTGAAAAGAACATTCTCACCAGCCAGGAAGTCACTCACAAGCAAAATTGTTTTGAAGACGTTTCGATGAAATTCAACAAGTGGTGTTTGAACGAGTTGATTACCACAAAAGACTACAAGAAGATGTTAATTCTTGGCGCCAAGTTCTTAGAACTAAAGAATTACGACGCGACATTCAGTGTGTACTGTGGACTAAAAAGTTCACAATGGAAAGGCGACAAAGCAGAGAACTACACAAAGAAGCTTCAAAAAGACAAGAACTTTCGTAATATGGAAATGGTGTTCAATGGACCAATTGTTTCACAGCAATATGACACACTCATATTAAAAGAAAAGGCGCCATTCATTCCAGTCTTCGTGTTGGAAAATAGAAAATTGCTTCTTGCAGAAGAAATTCCAACGTATGTCGATGCCACTAAAACGTCCATTCGAATAGAAGACAAACTGAGAAAATGCTATTCGGCGGTTAATACTTTTATTAGAGGAAGGTGTTTGTCATATCCATTTGTTGTGAAGGATGTAGACACTCTGATCCAGAAATATGAAAAATAGTATGTGTATCTGTACTATATTTTATTTATTATTTTATTATAAGTGTTGTTTTATAGAAAAAAAGGTAATAAAATGAATATATATATAGTTCATTAAAAGTAAAACTTTTTAATAATATAAATCAATAACAATTAATTATTTTTTAATATTATTTTAATATTATTTTTACTCAGGTCAACATGAAATTCAAAATTCATTCATAACATTTTGTATTAAAACAATTGAAATTGGATAAAACTGTTTCGAATTGTTAAAACAAACTAAAAATATTTACTTTAACATTGTTATTTTTTTTTAGAATTTTAGCAATAAAAATTAACAATAATGATTATAATTAATATATATTATTATTATAGTTAATTATATTAATAAAGTATAATAAAATGTCATTTTTTAATAATTGTCCAACTCAAAAAACAACCTGAAAAAACACCTTAATTTTAAAGAGGGATTTTTCAAGTGTTATTTCGTTGCAAAATAATAAATGAAGTATTTAAAACTATCAAACATTATTTCCTCAAATGAACACGCGTATTAATACTCAAAACGATAATACGACAAACTTGTTAAAAAAAGAAAGTTTTCTACCATCAAAAACGTCAAATTTAGAAACACAAAAACAATTGTCAATATAACCATATTAATACCATAAATAAACTATTATTTAATTATATCTCCAAATTTCATTTAACAAGTCTTTTTTAACATAAATTTCAACAACCGTCTTTCATCAAAACAAATTTTATATTAATAGTAAAATTAATAATAATTAATTAGACAAGATTCATCCAAAAATAGGAAGAATGAGAAAGAGAAGTTAAAAAGTGTGAAAAACGCGAATAAAAAGAGAATTTAAAACTCTAATAATTTAAACGATAATGCCAACTAAAAACGACACGCAGTGGGTTCAAGTCCAAGAGGCTGTCTACACGTCATGGTTGAATTCTTTACTCCCACAAGATACGCCGAAGATCATGAACGTGAAAACGGACTTAACACCCGAGATCCTCAAAGTTGTAGCGGAGAGACTTACACAGAAAGAGTTGTCACAAAAGTTGACGAATAAAGTTGGAAGGATATATTCATTAAACGACTATTCGACAGTCTTGTCACATTTACAAGAGAACGGTATTGACACATCAAGTTGCTCTTCTGAGAATTTAGTAGACGGCGGTGAAGGGTACAAAAATGTCCTTGGGATGTTGTTCAGTTTGTACCGAATGTTCTGTGTTAAGAACTACGAGAGAAACCACAAAGGGACTTATGAAGGGAAGAAGCACCAGAAATTGGAAGACTTTGTGCTTGGGTGGATCAACGAGAAAGTCGCGCCATATGGGCTTCGAGTAAATAAACTTGGAGAAGACATTAAAGACGGGAATGTCCTTTTGGCATTATCAGAAGCGTTTTCTGGCGACAAGTTCTATGAACAAATGAAAGAGAAAAGTCCAGTGGAGAAGATCGAACAGGCGTTTAATGTTGCGCAAGACAAGATTGGAGTGCAAAAGATTTTTGTGCCAGAAGATCTTATTAATGGAGATGTCGATGAAAGAGCACTGATGTTATACTTGACATTATTTAATAGAAACGATAAGATGGAACAAAGCGAGAGAATGAAAGAAGACGAAAAGAACAAAGAAAAGGAAAAGCTTAAAGAGGAGGAAATGAAAGCAAAAGAAAAGATGTGGAAGGACAAATTGGAGACGATGGAGAAACAAAATGATATGCTGAGAACACTCCAAGCTAATCAAGAACAAGTCTTAAATGAAGAAATTAAGAAACAACAGGAAATAGCACAAAAGGCTTTGGATGAGAAGAAACGACTCGAAGACTTGAATAAAACACAACAAGAAAAGTACACCGCACTCGAGAAAACTACTCAGGAATTATTGTCCCCAAGACAACAAAACATTATCCCTCAAAATATACAACAACAACTTCCTCAAAGTAATCAACAAGTGTATGAACAACAAATCAAAGAACAAAGTCTACAACAATTACATGTACCTGGATTGGTACAACAACAACCTTCACCTTTATTAACACAAAACGTCGAACAACAAGTGTTCCATGATACTATTCCACCAAAACAATATTTAAATACTCAACAAAATATCCCAATGACTCAACAAGAACAACAACAACACATGCAACCAATTGTCCCTCTACAAGTTCAACAACAAAATTTCCAACAAGAAGCCATACAACAACACCCACAGATTAACTGCCAAAACGAACAACAAGATCCAACACAATACCAACAACAAACGCAATTTCAACCACAAATACCTCAACAAAATATCCAACAGCAACAGTTTATGACTCCTCAAGACGTGTTATATCAACAAAATACACCAATGAAACAACAACCATTGATGCAACAATGTGGAATGCCTCAGATGGTGGGGGTTCAGCCCCAACCAGCAATGGGTCCATTGGGTGTTGGTGCTCAAATGTATGGTGTTCCAATAGGTCAGCAAATACCACAAGGCGTGCCGGTTGGAGTTGTTGGATATGGAGTCCAACAACAGCCCGTTGGTGTTGGACTTGTCGGTGTCTATCAAACACAACAAACAGGTAACATATTCCCACCAGGCCACGATTACTATGGGCAAACTTTTTATTAATTTGACTTTGTTTTTGATTCTTCGAATCTTTCAATAAACCAATTCAAATTCTTATCAACAAATATCATCTGAAAAGTAAAGACACCAAAATCTCTTTATTTCTATACATTATAGTTTTTTAACTATTTAATTGTAGTATAATTAAATAATCCAAAACACGACAATCGTTCACTGTCGATATAAAAATTGAATAAAATAAGACGGTAATTCAATTATTCATGAACGAATTTGTGAATGAAATGTTATTAATATAGTATAATTAAAGTATTATACTGTATAATAAAAAACATATAAATAATTAATACTATATACAATAATTACAAACTAGATAAACTTAAATTCAATGACCGAAACCAATCCAACAGAACCTTCAGCACTTGTAACTCCTTCAAATGCAATGGAGACGGAGCCCATCAAAGCTGAAGAAGTAAAACAAGAAAACACGACGAATAGTGAAGACTCGAATGTACCAGAAGGCGAACAAGTTCAAGGCGATTTACCACCAAAATGTCCTTCAACCCCTTCTGGTGTACCACCTGAAAATAAAGAAGAAAATAAAGAAAAAAGTGAACCAGTGAAAATGGAGGAAGAACCAAAGAAAGAAATTCCAAAAGAATTTTTCATCGAACGTGATGACGTCATCTCAACACTTGTCGAAGCGACGTACCCACTTGTGACGTACGAAGAAATGCTCTTGCGATTCAAAAATGAAACATTTGGGGAGGACTGGATCAAAAAAGACGAACATAGAAAATTGCAGACGTTTGCGATTAACATGTTATACCAGAAATTCCCGGAAAGCGTCGCGAAGACAATTTTCCCTTTTGTCGATGTCATCGAGAAGTTCATCGCGAAGCCGTCGGAAGAGGAGATGAGACTGATCAGAGTCTTAACTGCACAAGCGATGTCTCCACTGAAGGCACCGCCACTGATTTCCGCTGAGAAGAAATTGCCACCGTCCGACCAAAAAGGGATTTCGCCTATGACGGTATTAGAAAAGATATCAGAAAAGAAAGACGACGTCGAACCAGTGAAGGAGAAGCCAAAGGAGAAAATAGAAGAGAAGAAAGAAGTCCTTAAGAGTGAAACCCCCACCAGAACCGACTTTAAAGACACTCAACGAGACAGAAACGAGGACGGCAGAGAACGAAAAAATGACAGAAAATCATATCGAAGCGATCGAAGACAACACGAAGAACGTTTTGAGAGAAGAGACAGAGACAGGAGCTTTAATGAGCGTAGAGAGGATAGAAGAGATGATCGAAGAGACGAGAGAAGAGACGAAAGAGGATTTACGAAAAATAGAAGAGATGACGTCTACAAGCGAAACTCAAGAAATAGATCGCCAAGACGGTCAAGAAGTGCGTCGAGAGAAAACAGTAGAAGAGAGAGATGAATTTTTTGAGTGAAATTTTTTGAATGTTAATATCTTAGAGGAATCACCTTTCAAATGCTAGCAAATTTGTTTAAAATAAAGAGTATTCAATACCATTTTTTAAAAGTAAAGTCACTAAAGAACAAAAAAATAAAAATTGGCAGAAAATTTTGATTTAAAAAAAGAACTAAAAAAGAAAGAAAACAAATGGTTCTTTTATTGGTAATATTGTTGATTGAACACGTCGTTTCGGATACTGAAAGACACTCTCGCAAGGATTTGGAAAAGGGTCCAACAGAAACACTTGAGGGCGTCAATTGCACCGAAGGACAATATATCTACCAAAATGAGTGTATGAACTGTTCGGTGTATTGTGAGGCTGGAGCGTGCAAAGACGAGACTGGGTGCTCGACATGTGTAAGTAATTATTACTCAACAAACGGCGTGTGTAATCTTTGCCCTATGAACTGTGCTGAGGGGCAGTGCATTAATGGAGATGGGTGTGTCAAGTGTAATCCCGGGTATGTGATGAAGAACAAGAAGTGTGAAGTTGACCCGCGGTGCATTCATTGTGTTCAAGGGAAGTGTAATGCGACTGGGTGTTATGAGTGTGAACCAAAATATGAATTAGTGAACAACTCATGCTTTGACAACACTTGTCAGGATTGTGAATTGGGTCATTGCGTGACGGGGTTTTGTGACGATTGCGTCAATGGGTTTTACTTATACCACTCTAAGTGCAACAGTTTGTCCTTTTCTAATTGCTCCATTTGATACTCAGGGAACATATAGTTAATTGTATAATATATATATTATAAAATACTACAATACAATAATAATAATAATATAGTTCTATAATAAAACTGTATAGTTCATAAAGGTGTCGAGAGAAAAGAAATTTATTTTTACTATTTTAATAGTTTTAATAGTAATACTTTAATAGTTTTGAAAGTGACCAGAAGAATGTGTACCCGAATGCACAGAGAATGGATGTGCGGATGGATATGGGTGTATTGAATGTATTAATGGATATGAGGCGAAGAAGGGTATATGTTTGGAAGTGACATCAAGTGGTTCTGCAGGCTTGGCGTCATGGGAGATTGTGTTGATTGTGGTTGTACCATTAGTATCAGTGATATTGATTAGTGTAATTGCTGTGGTAATACTCCTTGTGTTGAGGAGAGTAAATTCAGTGCATGTGTTTTAAGTATCAGAATAGACTCAGTCCTGTATAAAAAGACCACATAGAATAACTTCGTCCAGTATTTACTATAAAATATATTAAATACTAAAATTATAATAATTTATACTATTTATTGTAGTTTTTATTTTCATTAACCAGACTTCTAATTATATTAATTAATAATTTGAAATAAATATCAATTGTTATTAATAACTATAATTAATTAATATGTGAAACTATAACTGAAAATTAAAATATGATAAATTACCATTTTATATTAATTAATTATAATTTAAATAATAATTAATTATTTATTATTTGCGGGTTTTATTAATTAGACAAAACTTAAAATCCAAAACGAAAATGATGAATGAAAATCTCGACAAACAGATAATCCGGTTAACTTCTGAAAAGCGCCAACTTTATTCACTTCTTGAGGAAACGCAAAAAAAACTTGATGTTTCTCAAAATGAAAGATTTGCGGAACGAGAGAAAATGAACGCCTTATATATATCACAACAAGTTAGTTTTTTATTTAATAAATAAACTTAAAAAACAGTGCTTTTATTATACCACTTCAAAAAACTAAATTCAAGGAATTATTCACAAAAATGAAAGAGAATGAGATTGACGGAATGAAAAAGATTGAGAAATTAACTCAGCACATAGCAACCCTTCAAAACAAATATATTTTCAACAGTCTGAAGGAAGCACAACCATCAACAAAACTATTCAAAACTATATTGGAACTTGTTCCCACAGAGAGTCAGACTATTGTGAAAGACCTTTTAGATGAAATGAAAAAACGGATCGAAGACCCCCTGATAGTTTTAATCCAAAAATTACAAGAGAAAAACCACGCGAAGGGAGAGGCCGACTCAGACTTATTGGAGGAAGCTGAAAAAACAGTGGAAGAGTTCAAAAAGGAGGCTATTGAGTGTATGAACACCAGCATTGAAATGATTCAACAGAAGGATAAGCAGATTGACTTGTGTATGAGTGAGATACGTTCGATTCGGGATGCGGCAAATGGCAATTATGAGATCCTTAAATTTGCAGATCTCTGTTCTCAAAATCTCAATCTCATCGCAACGGTCGATAAATTGAAAGGCGAGATTCACGAGTTGACGGAACGAATAGCTTGTATACTTGAAACTCAGAAAGCAATTGACAGTGAAAAACAAATAGACACCAATGAGAAAACTCAAAACAATGATCAATCTGCAGAACGATGTCATTTTTTGGAAAGAAAGATCGAAACTATGGAAAGACAACTTACGAAGGAGAGACACGAACATAAAAAACAAATTGGTGAAATGACAAAAGAACTCAATAAACTGCCAGAAGAACTTAAAAAGGAAAATTCCGAATTGAGATTTCAAAATGAAAGGTTGCGAGCGATGAAAATTGACGAGTGCCAGAAAGAAGAGGAACTTAGGGTGAGGGAATTTATGCGAAAAAATGACCAGGACAAGCAACACATGTCAGGTGAGAACCTACAAAAGTGCTTTATATGTGGGAGCTTGGACCACGCTGCGAAGGACTGTTATTATAAAAAAGCGGTAGAAACAAAATGATTGTTGTTTGAGAAATTAAGTTGTTAGTGTTACTACATTTTTCACATAGTTCAATCCCTTAATTGATCCTTCAAAATTTATTTGATGTAACAAGTACATAACATTTGCGATCACAACAAGAATTGAAAAGAAAAATATTGGTTGTAGTGGTAAAAGTTTAGTTCTTGACGATTTTTAATACTCTCATCGAAATATAGTTAATTATAGTTATTTATAGTATATATGTAACTTTATTGGTATAATTTTAGTTCTTTTAGTACATTTTTTCCCGCTTTTTAGATATCAAATGAGTGCAAATGGAAAATAGAAAGAAGTTTGTTTTTTTTGTCAATTTTATTAAACAAAACCAAAAACAAAAAATTGCGCCATTTTTTTTGATAATAAATTGATAAAACAACAAAACAATAAATAAATAATAATATAATAATAACAAATAAAATAATTCCCACTGAAATGGTATTAAAAATACAACGGAAAAATCTTGCCCCTCGCATAATAGCGTTCTTAAAATAGTTTTCAATTAATAAACATTTTTTGGTTTGCTGATTTTGTTTTTACCAAAACAATCAGAAGTGATTGACTTTTTGCTCCAAAGAATTTAAAAACTATACTCAATACTAACACAATAGTATATTTCTAGTACATTGAGGACCAAGACGAGGAGTTGAGAGAGTTTTATACAAGAAACTAATAACTGCAAAATTAGAGGTGTTATTTGATGGGGTTTTGTGTTATTGAGCATTCATTACAAGGGGATCCATCGACGAAACTTGAGCAGTTGTACTCCATATATTCTGAATTTAATTCGTTACTGGACAAATATCCGCAATACACGAAAGAGACTTGTTTTCTGCATTTGCCGAAGTATCGAATTATACCGGGGTGGAGTGAAACACTAACGAATTATGTGAATGACGGGGACACGCTTCGAGTTGATCTCTTCCCGATTGCCCCAGAAGTAGTTCAGAAATTCCATTCACAATACTCGACAACGGAATTACCGGAGAACTTGAATCACATTGTAGGCGAACTGAAATTGAAGAAGAAAGAAAATGAAAAGAAAGTCTTGCCGAGCATTTCTATCACAACAAACATGACCTCCCCACGAGGAAAAGTTCATCACTTCTCCGATATAGTGTTGGGGAGGCAATTCAACATCTCCATCGCGCGTGTCCCTTCGTGTAGTTATACTTCAAAGTTGCCGCACTTGATCACCATCAAAACGCCGGTCCTCAAAAAGGATATCCCAGCGCTCTGGTTTCGCTCGTCTATCAAAACGTCTGTGAGTAAAATCGAAGACGTGCAGCCGTTTACTTTGTTGTATTTCCATGACTGTAATGAGGACTTGGGAATGATCTCTTCCTCATTAGAAGTCTTAAGTCAAACACTTCAGTGTAATATCTTAGCCATTGAATACCCGTCTTACGGGATTTATGAGTATGAATATTCAGACGAGTTGATGGAGACCAACTTGAAGTTGGCGTACAGTTATTTAGTGGGGATTTTAAATAAGAGGCCTGAGAGGATCTTAGTCTTAGGAAAGGGTGTAGGAGCTGCAGTGGCTCTTTTAGTGAGTTCAAAGAAAGATAAGAAGGTCAAGAAAGTCCCATGTGCGGGAGTCATCTTAGTGTCACCTAAAATGGACCCGGCGTCCTTTGGGAAAGGCATCTTTGAGAACACTAAGACTCTCAAAAAGGTCAAAGTCCCGACTTTCATCGTCTATGGGGAAAAGTACCGGTTCGCTCAAGCTATGAAGAAACTCCAAGTCCTTCTGCCAGCAGTCCAAAGCGTCGTGGGACTCCCGGAAGTCGGGGAAGACTTGGAAGGAATCGCGTTTGATGAATATATGGAAATTCTCATGAAATTTGTGTCTGCCGTCTTCCCGGAATTCATCGGCGTCATGACGGGAAGAGCACTCGAACAATTGAAACCAATGAAATATATCGAAAATCCTCTGGACGTCATTAATAAAACGTTGGAACGGTTTGGACTCGAGAAATACAGAGACCAATTCATTTGCTTTGGGTTCATGGGAGTCCAAGACTTGATTTTGATGACAGACGAAGATATCTCGATGATGGGAATCAACGAGGAAGACGCTCTCAAAGTCAACAAAATGATCGAAAGCCTCAAAGTCGAGATTTCGGAAAAAAGAGGAAGACACGGGTCTGAAGGATTCGGCCCCGTTGTTAACTCAACTCCCGAAATTTTGCCGTGTAAAACGCCGAGATTTTAATTGTTGTGTTTATTATTAATTACTTAATGGTTTTGATTATTAATTACTATTATAATATTATTAGATACTATTACTGTTACTATATTCATTTATTCATATCTACTATATTAATAGTATATATAAATATATATATTATTAATATATATAATAATTCATATATACTATACTATATTATATTATTTTATATTATATTATATTATTTTATTTTATAATTATTATTATAAATTTATTATTCTTATTATTAATATAATTTAAAAAACTAGTACTATATTATATTAAACTATTACTACTTTATATTTATAGATACTATTACTACAATTATTAATGGTAATTAATAGTATAAGTTGAAGAAACTATACAGGTACCATATGTATAGTATTTTCTAAACTAATAGAAAAGAGTAGAGAAGTATAATGGTACAATGAACTTTAAAAGGTTATATAATATGACGAGAGTGTTCTACTTCTATGACCACAACGTTGGAGAGTTTGACTACGGGTTTGGACATCCGATGAAACCCCTTCGAAATAAGTTGGTGCACCATTTGATCATGTCATATGGTGTCTATCAAAGACTGAACATCTACGTTTGTTGATCAATAAAGGAGTACAATGTCCTCTTATTCACTTGAAGTTGTTTTGATGTGTATAAACTCATTGATAGAAACCTTGGAGAGCTACAAATGAACAACTCGAGATGTTCCATTCAAAGGAATATATCGAGTTTCTTCAGAGAGTCACCCCAAGTAAGGCACTGTTGCCTTACTTCAGAAGATCGTTGGAAGAATTCAACTTCACTGTCGATGACTGCCCCGTCTTTGATGGTTTGTTTTACTCTCTTATTCTATACACTTTATTATACTTTTACTATTTGTTTTCTACTCAATTTTGTAGTATTTTATAATTACTAACTTAGATACTTCATTTAATTAAAGTTAAATAGTAAATTTTCTATTAGTTATTACTAATAATTAAGAGTAAAGTGATAGTACATTTATTAATAAAGTATAGTATAATTGAGTCATGAATAGGCCTGTACCCGTTTGTCCAAACGGTAGTTGGGAGCACGATTGGGTGTGCGATGAAAATCAACGAGCGTGCTGCGGATGTATGCATCAATTGGTCAGGTGGGCTTCATCATGCGAAGAAGTCGCAAGCGTCTGGGTTTTGTTACATCAATGACATAGTCTGTGGGATAATGGAACTGTTAAAAGTGCATTCTCGTGTGTTGTACATTGATATCGACCATCATCATGGTGATGGTGTTGAAGAAGCGTTCAAAGCGACGAATCGAGTGATGACGATCTCTCTTCACAAATATGGAGACAATTATTTTCCAGGGACGGGTGATGTCGATGAGGTTGGGGTAGAAGAGGGGAAGAATTATTCCATCAATGTCCCATTAAAGGATGGGATCAATGATGAAAGTTATCATAAATTATATATGCCTATCATAGATCGTGCTATGGAAGTCTTTCAACCGGGTGCCGTCGTTATGCAATGTGGGGCTGATTCTTTGAATGGTGATCGGCTCGGCTTCTTTAATCTAAGTATACAAGGACACTGCGCCTGTATGACTCATGTCAAGAAATTCGGTGTCCCTATGATCCTTGTGGGCGGGGGTGGGTATACTGTTAGTAACACCGCAAGGTGCTGGTGCTATGAGACAGCCGCAGCTTGTGACTTGAGTATCCCCGATCGTTTGTTTCTCTTCTTTTTCCTTTTTATTTCACTGTATTATATATTTTAATATTTTAATAATATAATTCTAATACGCTACAATACAATACTGTAGTATTAGAAATAGTAAAGGTTAGTATAAATTATAATACAGTAAATTATACCATGGAAGTGACTCAGTAGAGATCCCAATCAACGACTATCTCGAATACTACGTGCCAGACATGCGAATCACGATACCCACAAGCGCACAAATGAAGAATTGTAACTCGCGTAATTATTGTGAAGACATACTTGGGAAGGTGTTGAGTGTACTTGATGAGGTTGGTAACTCGAATTTGCCGATCATGCAGTTTGTGAACCCCCCACGACGTGATGAACACACCGTGGATATGGAAATAGACGAGGACGCAGAAACATATCAAGACGCTTGTGAGGGATTCAAAAGAGACATCCCAATGAATATGGATAACGAGGATGTGGTTAAGTTCTTCACAGAGCCGTTACCAATATACCCAAAGTCAAAGCTCTTCTGCACAGAAAGCGACTTGAAAACTATGGAATGAAACCACCTATGTAATTGACTGTTCTACTTGTTCAATTTAATGTACTATATTATATAGTTTGTAGTAATATAAATTATCATGTACTATATTTTATAATAAATATGTTATTATTTATAAAAATTGGTTCATAGTATTATTTTTTAGTTTAACTAATAAATATTTACTATAACTAATTACTAATTAACAAATTAAAAAAATCTATTGATGGTAATTACCATACAATTTTTGATTGTTATTTGTTTTTGAAGTAAATAATGGAAAAGGGTATATGTTGTGCAGATTAAGAATGTTTTCTATTCTTTTTCGGGAAAAAGAAAGACTAAATACAGATAGTAGAAATTTGGGTGTCAAGAATAAATTGGGTGTCAGATTGATTTTGAGTTATTTAATGGTTTTTTATATTTTTTTTTGTGAGGGGAAAAAATAAAAAAAAAACGAAACCCATTTTTTTACATTAACTAATCCCTAATTTATTTGACACCCAATTTATTCCTGACACCTTATTTTTCTACTATCTGTACAGCATTCAGTCGATATGAAGCGAAAGACAGTGGTTCAATATTACAACAGTGAAAATAGAATAAAAACAATGAAAAATGAAAGTAACACAGACCAAATATAAATTAGTGGTTAGCGATAGAAAGGATCCATCCGCCAAGTGGGGGGATACCGAAAAACACGCCAGACTTCGCCTTGATGAAGGCAAGGACGGCAAGAGCGACAACGACGAGGATCGCGACTGAGAAAGCAATCCAGAACATCACGACGAAGAAGAGCCCAGCCCAGTAGAAGCACAAGAAGAAGACTGCAATTACAAAGAAAATGGAGTTGATAATTGTCGACTGGAGAGCAACGGCACGGACGTACACGTTCTGCTTCTCGAGGAGAAATATGACTAAGCCACCCACCCAACCAAATAAAGTTGCGAGAAGTGACAGAACAGGGACGGAACAGTTCAGCGTCGTTGTTTCGTACGACACTGCGGAATCGGTTTGACTGTAATCGTTGAAAGGGTCAGACATCGTCTTTAATTTGATTTTAACAGTTTTTTCAGTTCCCAAATGTTCGTTTGTTCCACCAAAAGCCAAAATGACAAGTAAAGATGGCGAGACTAATTATTATATTTATAAGTAAAGTTTAATAAGTTTTAATATATATAATATATTAAAACTAATAAGTATAACAAATTTTACACGAATTGAATGAAAATATACGCTTTATAGGTGTATTTTTTGAAAAACATATCTGTCATATTGTGAAGAATAAACTACAATTATAATTATTTTTATTAATGTATATAGTTACAACAAATTAAGAAAGGTTTTTCAATTGTCATATAAACTTTGACTTAATTTTATAAACAATCGGGATTTAAAATATTATAATTTAAGTTTAATATTTTATAATTTCTCAACTTTGTTCCATAGTGGAAACAATTTAACTATCATTAAATGAAGTTGCAATATTTTTTTTAACCAAAAAATAAAAAAAAATCTTACTGTGAAATAAAAATGAGTGAGTGAATTTACTGTAAAAACCAAACTAATTATTATGACAAAAGTTAAATAAAAAACACTCAAAAATTGAATAAAAATAACTTTGGTTTTAAGATAAAAAAACAACGCATCAAATACAAGAATCTTGAGATTGACATGGTTGGAACGAAAAGATATTTGGGTACAGATTTTGGAACAGAACGTAGAATGACCGACCCATTCACGGACTACGACAACCACGACCCTTTCAAAGTATCTACAATAGACTGTAGCGTCCGAGTTCTTTCACTGCTTGCCACAATGTTTGGATGGATAGGAGGAATTGTTGTTTTTCTCATCGAAAAACAAAACGTCTATGTACGGGCAGTGGCCGTTCAATCTGCAATAGTGAACTCCATCATGTTTGCTGCTGTTGTTTTCTTTGGGTGCTTTTATTGGATTGGAGTCTTCTTTGTAATCATGTTTTGGATCACTCTGGTTCTCCACATCATCATCATTGCACTCCAGATGCTTGTCGCCTCTGTCAATGCAAACTCGGGAAATTTCTTTGGTCCCAACATGTTTTTAGCATTAGCAAGTTGATCTTTGCGGTCTTCTGTTGTGTCAATGTATTCAATAAACAAGATTTTAATAGTTATAAATACTCTTTATAGTTTATCAATAGTTTTAGAACTATTAGTTAATACGAAAAGTCTATAACAATTTCATGTTTCATTTTTAGCACATTTGTTGTTAAAAACACCATTTTATACAATTGTTCAATACATCGCACTTGTAGTCCAAATTCCTTTGAATAAGTCCTTTCGAAGACGACATAAAAGGTCATTCCGAAAGTCCAATTGTTCTGAACAAAACAACAACACTTTCACAATAAACCAAATGGACTTTTGTTTTCAATGTTTTGAGTTTATTTGATGTTTTTTTTCATATTCGTTAATTTGTCAAAAAAGTTGAAAAAATATTCCAAAACTTGAAAAAATCTTTTCTTTTAGTCTTGTCGAACAGACACACATCATATTTCCCGTTTTTTTCCTATTTTAAGGGGTTCTATTCTATTTGTGAATCTAATAGTTTTTTATTTCCATTTTATCGTTTTTTGTTTGTCATTTTGAATATTCTTTGATATACTATTTTCAATAATAAAATTTGCTATAATATAGTTCTTTTCGAGTGAGTCAGAGAGAACAGTAGGCAAGTACATTCACCGAAATCTCAGACACTGCTGACTTAGGCTCTTAGGACTTTGTCCCTCCCTCGTTTCGCAAAAACAATCACACTCTTTCATTTTTTTGACTCTAATCACTTAAAAGTGCATTCTTTCCATTTTCCTAATCTTCGTTTTTTTTTGAAAGATAATAATAAAAAATAACTTTAAATATAAATATAAATATAATTATATTTTATTACTTTTATAAAATTAAGTGTTTTCTAAAAAAAATAAAATAAATTTAGAAAAAAACACACTTTTGGGATAATAAAATCAACTTCTCACTTTTCTAAAAAAGACATTTACGTGGCAGAAACAGACATCGTTCGGAATGGCAGCACATTTAAAGCGAAAAAAAAGGAGACTGTCTTCACTAAACACCTATGGAAAATAATGACTCTTATCAACTCAGCACTTGGGGCGGGCTGTGGCGTTACATTGGTATCGAGCGTCATGCGCAATATGGATACTACTACAACCTTGGATATGCAAAAGCACAAGACTATATTAATTGGCCTATGTACTACCTTGGGCTGAAGGACCAAAAGCCTCCTTTAACTGGAGAGAGCTCTGAAGATTTCTACATCCGGTCCATTTACACCTCAACTTATGACTGTTTTAACAGACCACTTTGTGGGCCTGCTGCAAAAGACATTTCGATTGGGATGAGAAGAGAAGTCCCCATTGAAAATGTTAAGCACTTGGTTCCAATTGACGAACAGAGAGAAGCTCTCAACTTTGGGTCTTATAATTATTTAGGATTTGGTGGTGTCAATCCTAAAGTGACACCACAAATTGTTGAGACTCTAAAACAGTCGGGAGCGACTTTATCTGGATTTGCCTCAGAGTGTGGAGTATCTAAGGAACAGGAAGAGCTTGAACTTTTGATGGCCGACTTTTTGCATAAAGAGGCTTCTATTGTTGTCCCTATGGGATTTGCCACCAACTCAACTTTGATCCCAATTTTACTTGGAAAGGGGGATGTAGTGTTTTCTGATGAATTGAATCATTCTTCTATCATCACTGGAATTAAAAGTTCAAATGCAGAGGTTAGAGTGTTTAAACACAACGACATACTCGATTTAAAGAGCAAATTGGAAGAACTCAAGACAAAAGGAATGAAAGGTGGAAAGCAGCCAAATAAGGTGATGATCATTGTTGAAGGACTTTACTCAATGGAAGGAGAGTTCTGCCCGTTAAGAGAGCTGATTGCCCTCAAGAAGATATATGGCTTTTATTTGTACATCGACGAAGCACATTCTATTGGGGCACTTGGAGCAACTGGCAGAGGTATAACCGAGCACTTGGGTTGCAACTTCGATGATGTTGATATTTTGATGGGAACTTTCTCAAAATCATTTGCATCGGCTGGTGGCTACATAGCTTCCGATAAGAAGACGATTGAATTATTAAAATCGAATTGTTATTCGTATGTCTATGGATCTGCTATGTCGCCAATTGAGGCAAAACAGATTATCGCCGCTCTGAACCTGATGAAAACAGACGAAGGAAAGCAGAGGATTGCTCAACTGAGAAAAAATTCAATTAATTTTCGAAGAAAACTGATTAAGGCGGGGTGCCATGTGCTGGGCGATTTGGACTCTCCAGTTATCCCCGTGATGTTGTACCATGTTGGTAAGTTGAAAGACGTTTCAAGAGGCTGTTTAAAAAGAGGAGTTGCAGTTGTGACTGTCGGGTATCCAGCTTGTTCAACAATAGCATGCAGAGTAAGGTTCTGTATTTCTGCAGCACACACAGATGCCGATATGGAGAAGGCTTTCAACGCAACAATTGAGTGCCTCAAAGAGGTTGACTGTATATTTGGAGACACACCACAGCCCAATGTCATCTACAAAGCAAAGAAGGCTGATTTGGACGAGTTGGAAAAGGAGCCAAAAAATCCAAGAAAGATGAACCCGCTTTATGAGAACTCAGACAAAAGACCAATTCTTGAAGCTGTAAAAAGACCAGAACCATCAGACACAAACTTGAGTAGTTATGATATCCATGGGTTCGGAGAAGATCAGGAAAGAACTCAACTCATTGTAAAAATACTCGAGAAATATGGGTGTGGGTCTTGTGGACCACGAGGATTTTATGGAACGACGCTTGAACACTTGTCGATTGAAGATGAGTTGATGAAGTTTTATGGAACTAATGATGCTCTTGTATACTCGTATGGAAACAACACGATTACTTCGGTTGTTCCAGTGTACGGACACGCAGGTGATTCCATCCTTGTTGACGAAATGTGTAACTACGAGATTCAATTGGGTTGCAGGCTTTCTAAAAAGGCGAACATTGTAAAATTCAAACACAACGATGTTGAGGATGTGAAAGCCAAAATCCAGGAGATTAAAAAGACGCTTGTGTATCCCGGAAGAATTGCAATTGTCACCGAAGGGGTTTTCAGAGCAGATTTGTCACTTGCTCCACTTGCTGAATTGTCAAAACTGAGAAAGAAAAATGTGCTGTTGATTGTCGATGATTCACTTGGTGTTGGGGCTCTTGGAGCGCACTTGAAGGGTTCACTTGAGCAGGCTGGCATTACTGCCAATGATGTTGATGTTTATTGTGGCAATATGGAAATGGTCTGTGATACCATTGGTGGTTTTGTTGTTGGTAAATATTCGATGATTGACAAACAAAGACTCTTTGGGGCTGGGTACATATTCTCTGCTTCTGCGCCACCATTTACTTGCAGTGCGGCGACGTTTGCGTTCAACAAGTTCGAAAAGAATGGAATTGAGATGGGTGTTGAAATGAGAGAGAAAAGAAAGTTGTTTGACCAACTTTTCAATGAACACGTCAAAAACGTGAAAAAAATTGGAGACGATAACACTCCTTATGTTTTGTTAGACGCTGGTGATAACCAAAATATGGTCAAAGTGTTGAAAGAAAATGGATTCTTTGCTTCGCAGCAAGTCCATCTTGTTGAAGATTGGTGTCAAACAAAATATGTCCGAGCGTGCATTGGTAAGAACTTCACCGACGAAAAGATTCATAAATTGGTAGAAATTTTGGCCAAGTTGTAATTTGAAAGATTAGTGACTTTTATTTTTTGTATCAGAAAAACTTATACAACAATATAATAATATTATTATATAAAATATATTAAAACTTATAGTTGAGTATTTTGTAATTACAATAATAATAGTTTTAGTTATTAACAAGTTTTAGTTTTTTATTTTTTCACTTTTTGTAATTTGATTATTGTTGATTTTTTTGAATTTTTTTTACAAAACAAAAAGATTATCAATAACATTTTTTTGTAATTCATTTACTCTTTATTAAATTATTAAAAATCAAGTTATAAACAAACAAGAATATAGAATTTATAATAATTATATAAATTAACTTAGTATTTAATTCAAAGAACCAAATAAAAAATATAAATTATATTTCATTGTTTTGAACTTCCATTATTTTATTTTTTTGTATATAATTATATTATTATATATTAAAATAATAATAAATAAAATTGCCAAAAATAAAAAATATACCTTTTTGAGTACAACAATCCAAAAACTTTATTTTTTGAAGTTAACCATTAACTCTTCTTATCATAATAATCCCCACAACTCGATTTTTATCAATGAAGCTTGACATTTTCTCATTACAAATTGTATCAAAGTATTTGATTGAAGAAAATGATTTCATCAACATCTTGTTGACATCGACGAAGTGTAGGTATATTCTTGATCGCTTTAGAATAAATCCAATTCCAATTACTGATAGTTCAAAACGTCTATTTCAATGTATTCAAACACAACTAATCTTCAAAGAGTCTGATTTGGTACTTGACATAGTCAAACGTAAAATCATTTTATATAAAGTCAACTACACAAAATTTAAACAATCTAAGAGTCCATTGAACGAATTTAAAAATATTGCTTTAACAAAAGAAGACTTGGAAAAAGAGTTTACAATAATACCCAAAGAAGTTAACATTCTTGAACCAATTTCTAAGTTCACCAATTTAACTACAATTACTCTTTCAAGCTCAATAAAAAGAATTGAAAGGGAAACATTTTCATCATGTCAATTGACTGAGGTTATGATTCCTAATTCTGTTACTTATCTTGGGAAAGCATCTTTCAAGAATTGTACATTTCTCAAAAAAGTGGTTCTGTCGTTGTTTATTCACACTTTGAAATCAGAGACATTCTCTGGTTGTCAGAATTTAAGTGAAATCAATTTAACAGACTCTATTACAACAATTCAAAAAAGTTGTTTCAGAAATTGTTTTCTACAAGAAGTTGTTCTCTCTGATTCTTTGGTCAGTGTTGGTGATGGCGCATTTTCATTTTGTAAAGTTAAGACTGTAATTTGCGCGCGAAAGGAAATACCACACAACTGTTTTTCTCAATGTCAAAAATTGAAAGTCCTTGAACTTGGTACAGAGGTTGAATTTATAGGAGAAAACTGCTTTGAAAATTGTTCTAAATTGAAACACTTTGAATGCCCACAGACTTTAAAATATATTGGACAAAAAGCATTTATAAGATGTTCAAAATTGAAAGAAGTTGAATTGTCAGAGAATGTTATATATATTGGACAGAAGGCCTTTTCAAAGTGTATTAAATTGGAAAAATTGGTTATTCACAATCAAAGATGTTATATCGGAGATAACTTTATCAACCAGTGTACAAATTTGAATCAATTGGAATGTCCTCAGTATTGTGGATTACTTATGAATAACATGAATTTGAGTCAAATGCAAATATTAGATCGGTTAGGAGTAAAATATGGGGATTTCTGTGCTAATAAAAAACAGACCTGTTTTGATGGTTTTGCAGACTATGTTCAAAATACAATATTGAAAGCACCTCCATTTTCCAAAAGAGAAGAGGTCACTTCTCTGTATATCCCAGAAACTATTCATCATTTGGAATCGTTTATGTTCTTCTATTTTATTAAACTAAAAGAAGTCACATTACCAAGAGGAGTGGTTGTTCACAATTTTATGTTTTCTGAATGTTCTCAATTGACACAGATCAATTTACCAGAAGATTTGAAAGCGATTCCATCATACCTCATATTCAATTGTAATAAAATAAGGGAATTGAAGATTCCAGAAAGTGTTACAAAAATTGAAGGGAGTGCTTTTAAAAATTGTGGACTCCGTGGACTAACAATTCCAAAGAATGTCCAATCTATAGGGAAGTTATGTATTTCTAAATGTAAGTGCTTTTCATCACTAAAGTTTTTGAATAACAGAACATCATTTGAAAAACTGTTTGACAACAAAATTGCACATCAACTTAAAAACAACAACATTCAGTTTAAACACTTACATGTAAATATTAAAGATGGGAACCTAAACAACATCAAGACAGATAATAGCGGGTGTTTGTATACAATCAAAATAAAGAACAGTGAACAGAAAATACTAGAAATACCACATAAAGTGATAGAAATTGAATCAATAACAAGTGAATATATTACTCAAATCGTAATTTTGAGTGGAGTTACTAAACTCTATCCAAGGTGTTTTAATGGAGTTAAATATCTTCATAACCTTCAAATGAAATGTGTTTTAATGAAAAAGGCTCAACACATTTTTGATGAGTGTTGTTTTTTAGATACACTTGATATTGGGAAAAATAAGGAAGAGATGTTTGAAGTGAATTATCCATGTGCACTTCGAATGAAAAAAATTGGATATTGTAATATGAAATGTACATTTGAAGAAAAATCACTCAAAGACACCCAAATGTTACTAATGGGCACTTCAAGTATTAAAATAAAAAAGGATTTGCACTCAAACGTTTCACTTCTTTCTTTGCCATCTTCGATTTCCAAAATTGAACGAATGAGAAGTAATGACGACACTTTGAAACTCCCTCTCCGAATCAAGAAACTTGGTGATAGAGCATTTTATCAAAACAACTGTGTTTATCTTGAAGGACACAATTTGAGTTCTATAGGTACGTTATCTTGTTTTTCGTGTAAATATTTAAAAAGTGTATTATTGTCATCTTCATTGAAACATTTGAAACAAAATGCGTTTGAAAAGTGTTTTTCACTTGAATCTATTGTTATACCACAGTCCATTGAAGAAATAGGAACATCTTGTTTTCAAGAATGTATCAGTTTAAAAGATATAACATATTTAGGGGAAAAGGGTGTTTGGGGAGATAGATGTTTCTCAAAGTGTTATTCTTTACGTTGGGCAGTATTACCAACGATTCACGGAGAGGAATTTTTCATTGGGTGCAATAGTTTGGAAACAGTCAGAGTGACGAATGGAACAAAAGAAATGAACAACCATGTTTTTGAAAATTGTTATTCACTTTCAAAAATAGATATTCCACCAACTGTTGAACATCTTGGGAATAAAGTCTTTAGTAATTGTGTTTCTTTAAAAGAAATTGAATTGCCGAAATCAGTTAATTCCGTTGGGTATAAAACGTTTCTCAATTGTCAACATTTAGAAAGATGTGTATTTGCCAATAAAAACGTTTTTTTGTCTGAAAATGTGTTTGACAATTGCCCTTTACTTTCTTCAATCTTTTTATCCAACTCTCTTCTATCGAATTTTAAAACTTTATTATCTTATGACCAGATGAAAACATTGAATAAATGTGGAATTGAATGTCAAAAAGTTGTTTTGACTCAACATGATGTTGTAAAATACCAACTTAAACAAATCAATGACTTACCACAAATACAAAAACTCGACGACTGTTGCTTCAAAAACAACGAAATGAGTTCCTTTGTAATCCCCACAACTGTCACTTCAATTGGAGAATTTTGTTTCAAAAACTGTCGAAAGTTGAGTTCCATTTCAATACCAAAAAGTGTTTCATATATTTCTTCTCATTGTTTTGATGGGTGTACATCTCTCTCTATTATAGATTTCCATCCCAGCCTCAAATTCAGTTCTTCCTGTTTCAAAGGATGTAATTTACTTAAAACTCTCTTGCCTCAATGTGTTCTTGAAACTCCAAGAACACTTGAAAGAAGTCCATCATTTGCTTGATTATCAAATTATTATTAATTATTAACATGTTAATTATTATTTCAGTGTTTCTAAAAATAACTTTTTTGAAAATAAAAATAGTAATTTTTATTAATAATTTATTAATAACTGTTGGTAATTTCCCGAAATTGATACAAATAAAATGCTGTTATTAAAGTAAAGAATCCCTCAAAATTTAAAAATAAAATCCATTTTTAAATATTTTGTTTTTGTTACAATAACTTTTTGACGTTTCAAAGTGATACAAATTTGTTTGAAATTTTGACTTAAAACCATACTTATACTATTAATAAGTTAAAAAAATGGTATACTCGATATTTAAAATGAACACAGTTCTTCACTTATCGTTTTGGAATTATGACAGAAAAAGTCACACTATTACATATTAATAAAACAAAAGTTAACTTTTCATATACAAAAATCAAATAAAAAAGTCATATAATAAATTAATAAATTAATAAATAACCATTTTAATAACAATAAAAACAATATCCTTTTATTTCTATTAATACCGAAAATTGGTGACGATTACCAAAATACAAAATATATATAAACACTATTTCTCATCTTAAAAGGACGATTAATGTCGTTAAAAATTCGACTAGCTCTTCACGCTCTGTTGAAGAAAGGTACATTCGTCCGAGACGATCCGAATTATCGAACGGTGACAGTGAGCACATTTGAAGGGAAACTGAAACGTGTTTGTCGCACCCTTCGCGACACATTTTGCTCATCGAGTTACGAAGAAGTTCTACGAGGATTTCTTTTGCTTCACAAAGTGATGCGTGAAGGGAATTTCAAAGTTTTTTCCTTTTTTTCCGAGACGCGCCTTTGCCATCCCAAAAAGTTGTCGTCGCAGCCGACACAAACGATATTGCCGGAGTACTTTTCATTCATCGAGAAGTATGGGAAGAGTCTTGAGAGTAACATTTTGTTCCACACCACATTTGTGTACGTTGGCGGTGATTTCAGTATAGCGCCGATCTTACCAATAACAGAAACGTTGAAAGAGAAAATGGACTTATGTGAACTTGGGAAACGCGTGATGGAACTCTTTAAAGAGAATTGTAAGTTACTGTGGGCACTCAGTGAGATGAAAGGATTCGACGAAATGATCTCTATGGCATGCCAACTGATATTTAATGACGTCATCGGACAATTTGAGATCCTCAGAGACTTGTGTAATGTCTCCCGATACGAAGAGAAGATGAAAATCAAGTTTGAAAGACTCTACGTCGAAGTTAAGAAGGCCCAAAAGTTCGTGTTAGAAATTGGGGGGAAATTTAAGAACTCCGCTATGAAAATGGACTTGCCAAACACTAAAAAGTGCGAAGAAATCGTCTACTCAACAGGAAGCAATGAGGCGAAAATATTCTGCGCAAAGTTTGGAATCGACGAGTCTTCTATCAAAAATCTGAGTGAAGTCGAAGACGATGAAATCGAAGGAAAGTACTCCCCTTATGATAACTGCGCTTTGGTTATTTGGCCAAAACAATAATTAATTATTTAAGAAATTATAATTAAAGATCAAAAATAGTTTAAAGTATTATAATAATACTATAATAGTATAAATACTCGTCTATGAAATAATTCTTGTCTTCTATTAATAATATTAGTTTTATTAAAATAATTATTAATATACATATTGTTTTTTATTATTTAGTGAATGGTAAATATAACTAGTATGAATTATGACAATTATTAATATGTTTTAATATAAAAATTTATTTATGATTATAATTAAAAACTATTTAAAATTTAATTATTTTTAATTATTTTGTTACTAAAATAATCAATAATGAATTTTATTATTTAATTTATAAATAATATATAATAATTATTACTTTTAAGTTATTTGTTGAACATTAAAAACATCGAACAAAATTATTTTCATTTGATTTGTTCTTAAAAACAAACTCTTTTATGATATTTTTGGTAAACAAAGTTTAGTTTATTACTATAAATAATAATATTATTATTATTATTTATATTATATTATCTTTTACAATGGAAAATTGTTTCTTTGTGCATTTAAAAAAAAAATCTTTTAAAAATATTTTTCTTCAAAAAAAATTGACAATTTTTTATGAATCAATCTTTAAGAATACAATCATACAAATAAATACTATTAATATATAGATTAAACAATTAATTTATAACTAATTCTGCACTTTTGAAACAGTCACACCGAATTTCATACAAATCGAATGAAGAAAGAATAGAATAAACGAACAATAAAAATAAGAATACATTAAAAATACATAATCAATGGAGAGCAGGTGCTATTGATCTCTCAAAGAACGACTTTCCGTTTTCTTCTGAGGACTCTTGTGAATTGATCAAATCAAATACTTCGATGTCTGAATTGTCAAGATCGGACCATGGGTCGACTATAGTCAATTCATAGTTTAATGAAGACCGCGACCTTAACTGCCCAACAGAAGCTCTTTTCTTCTGTTCGACTTTAGTGAGTAAAGTTTTCAAGTGGTCTGAGTGTTGGCAATTCATAATTATATTTATTTTATCAGATTTTTCTTTAAATTCACAATTCTCTTTTCAAATAAAACTTCTCGTCTTGTCGACATTTTGGGATTCACAAAAACACCATTTAACAAGCAAAATTGCACTTTTAAAAGACTGACTCGTCTTGAGTTTTTTTTTAATAAAATTTCCCGTTTTTGAGTCATCAAATAAGTAAGATTTTTTGTATGAAACTTTCATGCACTTTTGGCGGATGAAATCCTTGATTTTTCCCGAATTTTTGCGTTAATTTGCCGCATTATATTTTTTATGTGGCTTTATAAAGTGAAGCCCTGAAATAATTAAACTATTTTAAAAATTAAAAAAATAGAACACAACAATTTGGGTTGTATTTAGATTTTTTCGTAATTGAGTTTTTTTCTTCGGGGGTTTGTGCTCTTAGGACCGTATTTCCCCGGTTTATCGGAGCTATTTTTTCTTGGATTTTGTTGCTCTATTTCGATCAATAAGTTTTTATTTACTTCTTTCTATTGATATAGTTTCTTTATTAATTTATATAGTTCTGCCTCAAACACAGATTCTTCTGAATGTCGAAAACAAAATAAGAAATTCGGCAATTAGTTATTTTTCTGACTTATTTCAATCTTTATTGTTTTTTAAAGCAATTGAGACGTTTTGGTTATAGATTGTAAAGCTAATTTTAGTATTATTTCATTTCCCAACAATTAAGTACTTTTAAACGTATGTATTACTATGTGCCATTTTCCCGATTGTATACAATATTATTATGTAACATATAAACTTTTTGCCCAAATTCAGAGATGTGTTTGGTCATGACAAAGGTGATTTAATGATCAAAAAAAGTACATTTCGAAAAAAATCCAAATCTTATTGTAATGTTAACTAAAATTATTAAAATGTCAAACGAACAATGTAATCTGAATAGCTCATTTTTTGTTTTAAATAATATAGTTTAATTTACAAAATTTAAACTACATTTATGAACATAAAAAAAATAGCAACGAAACCAAACGAGACAACAAATTCCATTTTTATTGATAAATTCCTTTACACTTGAATAATAACAAATGCTAAAATAATTAATTAATAAAACAATAATTCATTGTCTTTTTCATTATAGACAAAAAACACTGAATGATATCAAGAACAAACGAACGGTCATTTAAGGGAAACAAGCACTCTAAAATGTTCTACACTACATTATCATCAACAAACTCCGAAGGGATTTGAAGAAAAACAAACAGTATGATTGAAAACATGGTTGGTCAAATCGAAGTCCTCAACTATAACTTATAGTATATTTATTTATAAAATATTATTGTAATTTACATAATATATAAAGTAAAGAAGTATTCAAATTGTTAAATAATGAATTATCAAATTGTATTATTATTAAAAGTTTTTGGAAACCATGAAAATAGAACTTTTTTCTTCTTCATTTTACACTTCATTTATAAAAACTATAATTTTTATTATTATTTACTATTAAAAAAAAACATAGATTTTTGTTAAAATCATTGTTTTTCAAGCTTCAAAGCTGGACATAAATCTATTTAAACATCACTTTCAATACAATAATAATAAATAATTGGCAGATTTAAAATACTAAATGGTTATAATTTAGTAACTGCAAATATTTCAATCAATCCATCAATTATAAACTAACTTGATTTAACTTTTTTTAATTATCAAACAACCATAATGATTTTTGCTCAACTTATAATATAATAATAATAATGTATTATTATATTATTTGTACTTTTGTCATATCAATAAAACTACTATTATAAGACTTCTCTTTCTAAAAAACCATCCAAACTAAATGAAATAGTAAAATTACTATAAATTGGATATCCAAGTTTCAATCATTTTTCTCATGATTTTCAATATTATTTTCTTCCTTATTTTCTTTCACAAGACCTTCGTCGTCTTCCCATTTCATCGAATCCATCCTATTTTTGTCGACGGGGTAAATCCATCTTTGATACAGATAGATAACGAACACTACATCATCTCTGAAGCACGCAATTCTATGAAGGAGTGGCATTTTAATAATAAAAGCGAAGAGGTCGTCCACGATAGTATTTAAGAACTTATAAATAAAGACTCTCCAGGGTAAATCTGCGACGCTTTTGAGTTTATAATTAATGAACAATTGCGGAGTCATTTGTAAGAACCCGAACGTGTAAATGACTCCGACGAAGCTCGAGAGTACAAATGAGTACCACGACTTGAATTCATTATAATAGAGACTATATATAGAATATCCAATACACAGAGGAATACATGCAATTCCTAAGTATTTGATCGCCACGTCATCATATTGTTTCGTCTGACTTTTTTCATAATTTTTGTCTTTGTATTCGACGAAGTGGCCGTTTCCTTGGAAATTGAAAGAAAAGACTCGACTGAGTTTATAGAAGGTCATTGCAATACCAACGACTTCAGAAACAAGAATTAAGTAACTTGTATCATTGTCGAGTAAATAGAGGAAGACGACAATTTGAATTATTAAAGAAATGATGACCGTCTTGACGGAAATCCCACGGAAAGTACTTTTCTTCCGCCAGAACTGGAAATCATTTTTATACGCCAAGAAGTCAAAGACGGAATGAAGGAGAGAGACTACCATCGTCACACTTAATAAGAAGATGTTCGTCTCAAGTAACATCCTCTTCATCTCGTCCATCTCCGCCTGTGCCATCATGCCGACTTTGTCGTACATTGAAAATGATGTTTCAAAGGACTTCGTCATGATCCACGCGAAGTAACCTATTTCTCTAATATTTAAAACTATAGAAATGTTCTCTGTAGTTTCATTAATTGGATTATAGTAATCTTTAATTAACCAAAATTGATTATGAAAGATGACGGGGTACACGTACTTCCCAACAACACTATATCGAAATTCCGTGTATTGTGGCGGAATGTGGTGGGGGTCGACAACTTGTTTCATGAAGTTAATTTCAAAATACGGGATAGTTCCCAACGTGAAGTTGTCACTCCTTTGTATAGTATTTTGAATAGTATTTTTCTCATTAAGTAAACTATTTTTATTGTTTGTTGAATTAGTCATTAAATTGTGAGTTGATGGTTTGGGAATGAAATTGCGAAGAATTGGCGTCTTAAATACTTTAGTTCTATTATCGTGGCGTGACGTCGGTTTAATTGTTGCCTCGAAGAAGACTGTTTCGTTCATTTTGAGTTTTTCAACAAAGAACATTGGGAGGGAGATATTTGTTGAGAGTGGAGTGGAAGTGACTTGTGCAAAAGAGAAATTGTGTGAGTTCACAAGTACTTTTGTAGTGCCATAAATCAACGTCGCATTTAATTGAAAGATGTCTGATGGTTTATATGCGCTTCTATATCCCGCAGATGGTGGGAAGAACATCGTATAGAAACTGTATCCCATATAAATAAGAAAAATAGTAAACAAGAGTGAAGCAACGGGGTGATTTAAAAAGAAGGAATACCACACACTACTTTCTTCTTCTTTCTTTTCTTCTCTTATTTGTGTGTTTGTACCTTTATTTCCATCATCTTGTTGAACTGGATGTGGTGAGGTATTTTCCTCCATGCCTTTTAGAGTTCATTCCACCTATTTTAGGGTTATTAAATCACTCAAAACAAATTGTAAAATTATAGTTAAATTTTATTATATAATTGGAATTTGTTATTCAGACCCAATAGACTTAATAGTTCGTCTTATAGTCATTATCAAACGAATAAGATAAATTTGGACTGGACTATGAATCATATAACTCAACACAATTGCAAAGAAACATATAAACTTAGCACAGTCGAAGTCTTGCGATATCTGGATGACTGTATTTGAGATAATAACCCGTCCATAATGGGATAGTTAACATTTCGCCTGATACTGATAACACACTATTGACATCAAAGAATTCATTTGTTATAGATCCTTTGGTCTTGATATCATCATATAAAGTCTTCTTATTCCCACAAATGGTCCGACAATCTTTGTCACAATCATACATAAAAGTGGTCACCGCTCCACTATATAATAACGCCATTATAACATCTAACCCATTCTCATTAATCTCAAACCCACTCGGGTTTTGCTTCAAAAGAGTATATAAACTTTGCATCATTAATACAAATTCTATCGCTTCTTTCCCAAATTCTACTCCTTTCCCATTCCGCTCCCCAAAGGAATACCCTACTTTACTCCACTCTTTCTCTATCACTTCAACTACTCCTTTGATCGTTCGGTAATGACTGTCTATTAAAAATAATACAACACTCGAGACTACGGACACTACCCCTTTCCCTTCTTCACTCTCTATCTCTATCGTCTCCCCTTTTTGCAACAAATAACGAATGTGGTTACTGATAGTTATCACTTTACTTATCATCCGAAGCCACCCACTCCTCTCTACATTCCTTTTGATGTTTTCTGTGTCTTGGATTTGACTGATATAGATGGTGTAATCTTCTTCAATTTTTTGCTTTAAGTTATAATATTATTATTATAAAGTTATTAAATTATTATTATTAAATTATTATTATTAAATTATTATTATAATTATTACTATTATATTATTATTATATTATAATTATATTATTATTATAAGATAATCAATAATATATTATTATATTATTATTATTTGCTTATTAATTTGTTATAGTATTCATTACATTATTTTATATTTATAGTAGTATTCAATATCTAATAAGGTATTAATACCAACAAACTGTCGAAGGTGCGATTCCGTCCTTTCCGGTCAATTCGAAGATCTGAACGCTTTTCCCCATTTTTCTAAATAAAGCGTCTGTTTTTCCTCTTATTACAGCTGCCGCTCTCCAGAGAGCTGTTCCATTTGTATTGACATAGACGATGAAAGGGAACCGATTTAAATAACGGACTTGTGAGCTCTCGAAAATCATTTCGCGAGTGACGGTAGAAGGTAATACGAAGGTACGAGGATATGTAGCACACAAATCAAATCCTTCATTATAATTACGAACGGTGTATTCTAGTACTCCACACTTTAAATAAAAGGCATCAGTATCATAGGCAGTACACCCTTCACCATCTTCTAAACCCCCATCTAAATCCCATCCACGTAACCCACACCGAAACCACTCGCGAACACCTTCCCCACGTCCTATTGATATCACTTCATTATACTTCGTCTTCACTCTCCATACACCATCACTACAAATAATGTCTTTGATACTCCCTAATGGAACACGACGCTCAACACAGGAACAACTCTGTGGAGACTCTATCACACGAATCACTAACTTCCCTTGGCTCACCGATAACCGAAACGTGTCCCCAGAATACTCCGTGTTACTCACACTTATCGTCGGGGCTTGGACATTCGAAGATGTATAACTACACGTCTCTAAGTCATTAATAAGAACGTCCGTTAACGACGTCACTAAATTGTGTGAACGGCGGGGGGTCATATAAAATTGGTCATAAGTCGGTGGCGTTGGACTTAAGGGGACAACTGGAGACGGGGGTGTGTTTTGGACACCTTGTGTAAATTTGTTGTGTTGTGCGCTAAGAATGGAAGGAGAGTGCGTCGGAGTTTGGAAATGAGGCGCATTTTGAAAGAGTTGATTTGAATCCATCGCAATCAACTAAGTGATGTATTAACTGATATAATAGTTTATTTCTAATTAAATAGAATTTTATAGTATTAATAATATTAATATTAATATTAATATTAATAAATATATTAGAATGGTTCTCTTTGTTAATAATTGGGGTGAGGTTTGAAATAACATTTTATAAAACATTTTGGTGATTCAGTTATATTGGAATAAATTATTTTGATATACTAAATAATATTTATATTAATAATAATATTCTTATTGATAATAAGTTAGTATTGTTATAATAACTTAATACTATATATTGTAACTAATTATTATTAATAATTTTATTAATATAATTGTATTAAAGTAATTTTATTAGATATAACTAATAAAGTATTATGGCAACTACTAGTGGCGACAAATTTGTGAGTTTAAATGAAAGTATTGACAAAAAGGATTTTGAGATATTGAATACGAAAACGAAAGAAACGATTAAAGTGTTGAAAGGGAAAGAAACAATAACAAGTGAAGTAGATGAACAATTATTAATTCATATCTCATTTACTCAAACGGTTAATCTTCGAACACTCCTTTTTCAATCTCCGAAAAGTGAGACTGCTCCAAAGGAGATTTTGATATTCACGAACAGAAACGACATTTCTTTTGAAGATGCGGAGTCAGTGAAACCAACTCAAATCATTTCGATAAACCAAAACGAAATAGGAAAACAAGTTGCTGTGAAACCTTTTCTATTTAATAATGTCCACGCTTTAACGATCTTTGTCAAATCAAACTTTGCCGGAACGAAAGTGACGCAAATCAAAAAATTCGAGCTCTTCGGACAAACGAAGAAAACGACTAACATGAGCGACTTCAAACCCGTTTGTTGCTGTTGTTGTCAACAGCAACAGATGAAGTGATTGACTTTATTTGTTTCTCTTTATATGAAAGATAACCATAACAGTAACAATAGATACACTTATCATGTGCTAAATTAGTCTCTCTGCTCTTCATGAGGAGGAAGGCCAAGTGCAAGACACGCTGCATTGCACTTGTGAGACTTAAAGAATTGGTCAATCCCTTTACTTCCGAGATTGGTGAGCGTATAATAGAACGCAGAGATGTTTTGGTGGTGAAAGGAGGGGTCGGTCAGTATATATGCATTCTCCTTCTCGGAAAAGACACCTTGAAGGTCGGTGACAACGAACTGCTTGGATGAGACAAAGAACGAAAAATGGGAGAAACACTGGAGTGTTGTGGAATACTTTTGGTAATTGACACCACTCCCATTTGTGTTGAATTTTATGAACTCATCTTCTAGTGGCGTTTCGACAAAATAAATCTTGTGAGATTGAGAGAGTGAGCGAATGTCTTCAACCGAATATTCTTTCCCGTAAATCTTGCGGATTTCATCATCTCGTTCCGTCTCAACAAACAGGCGTAACGGAATGCATTGTATTCGTTTGATCTTATCAATTACACCCGCATCACCTAAGATATTTGGACTGGTCGGGAAGCGAAATTTTTGCAATTCCTCAACGCTGACGTGTCAGTGTGTTCATCTTTATTTCCATAAAACAAACGAAGTCGACTGGATGTCACTTTGAGATAAGGACGGAACGGCGGAACATTTAAGCTCTGAAAAAAGTTGGGAATTTTCAGTTACTGGGGTGGCATTGTTAGAGACGTTACTCCACAAGTCATCTATTGTGATGTCATTTGGATTACGGCCCGACTTTATGATCTCACAGTAACTCGCAAACAAATCGGCAAGATCTTGACACACAAAGTGGAGGCCAACCATGTCGACGTACGACTCAAACGAAAGCATGTCTTTTGATTTAAACTGCTTGATTACAACCTTCTCTCGTTTGTCCGTGTAGCCGTCGTACGCGACTCTCACACTTCCGTCGCCAAATGGAGCGGATGGGAAATTGATTTCTCCCGCACTGACTATGCCCACAGAGGGATGTTGTGTGTGATTCTGCTTAAATTCGACAAAAAACCCGTGGTGTGTGATACATTTTTTTTCTTCAACCCCGCGCTTCATTTTTTGACTATCTTTACTGGAAATAAATCAATGTTCAATGGCAATTCAACAAAACAAACAGCGTGCAACAAAAATTGGTTTCATCCAAGCTTACCTCCGCTCGCAAAAATCTCGTGAAAAGGCAGTTCGGTAAATTTAAAAAGTTTTCCACGTAAGTTCCAGGAGGAAATGGAATTTTGACAGGACCAAACAGGAGTCTTAAATATTCATACCCCTCTTTAAAACAGTTATTCTCGTCTTTGCAGGTGCAGTCAGAGAGACAGAAATGTACAAACACGGTTTTCATTTTTCCCTCTGGGTACGTTTCGTACAAAAAGTGGATGAGAGGACCGACGTTAATTGGTGGCCGCGTGGGGGTGGACATTGTTGAGTAAAATTTGGAGAAGTCGAGTTTGTTGTTCAGGTCGAATTGTTCTATATTTGTTTTGAAAATATTTGGTGTTTCTTTCGTGTTTACAAACTGAAACACGCTACTATTTTTGTAAAAAACGATTTCAACTTCGGCTGATTCTCTTTTGTTACTTGCAATGTGCCACATTTTTTGCCTGAGAGTTTCGATGTTCTGGACGTTGATTTGTTTGAGTTCGATGATTAAAACAATTTTGTAATTTTGTATTCTTGAAAGACGTTCTAAAAGCTTCGTTTCTTCATTTGGAAACCCGGCCCCATATTCGTCGTCTGTATACTGTTTGATTTCTTGGACGTCCCTTGCTCGTGAAAGTTCAAAAACCACGTCTTTTTGCATGTGTTTTTTTAGTTCTTTTTAAATAAATGATGTTTGTCCATTAAATTGAGTTATTATTAATTTATTTATAGTAAAAATTTAAAATATACTTTGATGAAGTATATATACATATAATACTTATATAATATATTTTATATAAGTATATACTTCATCAAGTGATAAGATAAAAAAAAGGATAGTTCATTATTATATTTATTTATGTATAATTTTACTAGAGTTTTAATTTAATTCTTATGTGTTTTTTGTTAGGAATAAAATTAATAACATAATAATTATTCACCGATATTTATTAAATATAATTATACAATACTGTATATAAATAGTAAAAAAGAATCTTCAATAAACTTATTTTTTTTTCGGCAATTTCTTTTTGAGTTCCTCAATGAGGTCGGTTTTGTTTTTCTGTTCATTGTTTGCAGGTTTTTTAGTTTTTATTTCGTTTTGTGTTGTAACGTTTCCAACGACTTTTGATGACTTTTTTGACTTTTTAGGAACTGGTCTTCTTTTGTTGATTTGAAGGAGCTCAGTGGGTTCATTAATCATTTTTGAGATTTCTTCGGTTTGGCTTAAGTTTTCGGTTTTTTTCGTTTGGTTCTTCAAAATTTGTTTTTTCTCCTCTTCTTCTTCTTTGCGGTGTTTTTCTTGAGTTTCGAGTTTAGCTAATTTAATTTTGTTTTGGAGCTCTTTAATGTTTGACTGTGCCGTTTGTTGTACTTTAATTTCTTTTGGTTTTGTTGTTTTTGGTTTCTGGAGTTCAGGGAGTTTTTCGCCGTGAAGATACACATTCCCAAATTGACTTTCTTTCTTTTCTGGCGCACATTTGGGCGAATTTTTATCGCAATGGGGTGATTTTTCAACGAAAGTGATCAAACTAAAAATAATGTGAATTGCGCCAGAAAGCGTGAAATAAAAAGTACCATTTTCGCTGTTTGCAAGTGTTAAGTAATGCAATTTATAAAAAGAAGACGCCAATAACATTATTGAAAAACATTTTTTGAGAAGTGTCGACTTTAAGTTCAAAAGTGAAGTTAATACTATTAACAAATCTAAGACGGTCTCATACAGATACATGTTGCCCCACCCACATCTTGACACAAAAACGTTGTTTTCAAAGGTATCGTAGGGACGGTTTGGACATGTCAAGACTTTGAAGTCCTGTGTTTCAAAGAATGAAATTAATGTAAGAAAAAGACCAATACAGAGCGAACTAGTTGGCATGTGACTTCTTTTTGAGGTCTTTATTTTAAAGTTATTACAATGGTTTATTTATAGTAAAAATATAGTTTTTTGTTTTTAATTTTAATATTTTTTAGATGTTGAATTTTTTTGTCAATAAGTTTCTACATATTTTTTAAATAATATAATAATATTATTATTAGTAATAAGTTGATTATAAACAGTGATATTTTTAAACTGAATGACGTTTTTTAAAGGTTAAAAAATATTAGAAGAGTTAACAAAAAATAATTAATATAATAAAAATATTAATACAGAAACTTTTTATTTTAATTCTAAAATAATCAAATTTATAATAAAAATGTATCAAAAATATAATTTATTTTATTATACATTATAATAATTAATTTAAACTATAAAACTTTTTTAAACCTTATTTTTTTAAACATTTGTTTTTCAGTTTTGGTTTTGTCCATAGTTTACTACATTGGGTAGTTTTTATCAATTAGTTTTAATAATTTACAAAAAATCTATTTATAAAAAAAAACAATTCATGGTATACTTCAGTAAGTACAGACAAGGTTGTGTTGTTGATAATAACTAGTTGATAAAGATTTTTTTTGATTTATAGCAAACGATAAACATATAATATAAGTAAAATATAACCATATTTAATAGTTATTTATTATTCTTATTGGAAATTCACTGAAGTGAACAATTGTTGTCTACTGTTAAAACATTGAAATTAATAACTTTAGTCGCTTTGTTATTGATGTGTTAGGCTTTCAGTTATATCAATTCAATACTGAAAACGAATTGTTTGTTACTGATATAATACAATGACAGAGGACAAGCACTTCAAATGTTAACTCCAGATTAAACAAACTTAATATCATACTCAATAAGTTATACAATGAATTGGATTCTTTTAATGAATTTGGTTGTTTTAATCACAAGCAGACAATGCTCTAATCGTCATCCTGTGTTTTTTGTGCCAGGGATATTGGCTTCAACACTTCATATGAAAGGTACTATACCAAAAACAGTACCACTTCCTCGAAATTGTCCAAGAATAGTAGATGAGCGTCTTTGGGCATCTTTTTCTCAATTATTTCCAACAAGTCGGTTCCAATGTTTTGTTGCATATGTTTCTCCTGTTTGGGATAACACCAAAATGATGTTTGAAACAGTTGAAGGACTTGAAGTGTATTACAAAAACTTTCCATCAACAAAAGGTATCTCCACCTTAGGATCGTCTGTCAATCTTCCCTTCAAGTTATTACTTAAGTTTTTTGGATATATAGTAGACAAATTAAGACATGCCGGGTGGCAAGATGATGTTGACATGTTTGGTTTGGGTTATGATTGGCGTTTTGGAGATGTCAATCGTGATGATTATGCTTCAAAAATAAAAGAAATGATAATACGATCACATGAACAAAGTGGTCATAAGGTGGTATTTGTTAGTCATTCAATGGGTGGGTTGGTCACTTTACAGTTGTTCAAATTTTTTGGCCTTGCGTTTTGTCGAGAGCACATTGAAAAATTAATAACTATAAGTACACCAATTAAAGGTGCACCAAAAAGTCTTAGAGCTATATTATCAGGAGACACCCAACACCTTCCAATGAGTAGTAGACTGTTTCGAACTTTTGAAAGAAGAATGCCAAGTCTTTTTATGATGTTACCAAAAGGCTTTTATGAAGAAAGAGTTTTGGTGCAGACACCAAATAAAGAATATAAAGGAAGTGATTTAAAAGAGTTATTAAATTCAATTGATGAAATGAAGGAGTGGAGTCAAATTGTATTTGAAGAAACAGAAAAAAGACTGGAATTTGGTAACACTGGAAGATGGGTTCCTTGGGATTGTCTGTACTCTTCAGGTATTCCAACAGAAGATTCTTATAACTATCCAAATGGTTTTGATAGAGAACCTATAATTACCATGACAGCAGGTGACGGGACAGTACCTTTAGACTCAATGACTAAATGTTCACATCTAGGAGCACAAAAAGAAATTAATATGGGTAGGTTTTCTCATAAAAGTATATTGAAAACTCAGAGAGTAAGAACATATGTCTATGATGAAGCTTGTAAGGATAATATATAACAAACGTTTTTTTAATTAGTTTTATTGTATTTTTATTATAAAGTTTAATACAATTAATAATGACAATTACAAAATGTATTATATTAAATAATTATATTAAATCATATTTTATGATAATTTAAAAACAAAAAAAATGTTCGAAAAACAAATAGTTTAAATTATAATTAAAATACAATTAAAACCATGCAATTGTTACAACTCAAAAACTAAGGCATGTCAGAAAATGATGAGAACAGCCTTGATGGTCGGGAGATTGCTTGTGTTTTTGATTTGAGAAAGAGAGAGTTGTATAGCGGAATGAAACGGATCGATAGGTATACAATTTTCCCGACAGTTAAAGGGAATGTAACTGTTTTACACACTGAAGATAAATTTAAATACAAGTTCCTTTGTGACCTTTCTAAGGCCATTCCAAACTGTATCGTGGCTTTTGTTTCACAAGACACATCCATTGTTTACTACAGTCTTTCTCCAATTACCCTTCATTTTAATAATTTATAGTTTATTTGTAGTATATAACAATTGTTATATTTATAGTTTATTTTATTAGAAAATTTATCTTTTCTATGGTTTCTTATTAATTTAATTATAATTTAGAAAAGCTATAAAAGATTATAAAAACACAACTCAATAACAAATTAATGTCGAAGCACCGTTTGTGTTTCATACACTTTTTTCACAAATTTTACGATCAGGCTGAGATCCGTTGGCGGAACGAGATTGCAGATCGATGTTAAAATGAGATGTATTGACGAATAGATCCCGATTTAGTGATGTGTCGGAAGCAGACAGGGACTGCTGTTGGTCGTCTTTGTGAAAAGTGTGAAGGAAAATGTCCGATATGTGACACGTATGTTCGTCCGTATAAAAAAGTTCGTATATGTGATGAGTGTAACTTTGGTGCATCCCAAGGGAAGTGTATTAACTGTGGTGCCGATGGTGTTGCTGATGCATATTACTGTCGAAATTGTGTACTTCAGGAAAAGGATAGGGACGGATGTCCAAAGATCGTCAACTTAGGCTCTGCACGGGCTGATTTCTTATTTGAAAAGAAGAAACAACTCAACATCTGACTGTTTACTATCAAATTTTAGTTGTTGGAACTATAGTTTTAGTTTCGGTGGTTATTTAGAGCTATTTATTGTAAAAACTATAATTATAGTTTTTTGACTTTTTGCTAGAACCATTAAGTAATTAAACTATATTGTTTTTTGTGGATTTTATTTCCTGAAAGCAGAAAGAAAATGTTCAATCGTAATGGGAAATACAACTATCAATTTTGATTTACTATAATTAAAATACAATTTAATTAATAATCAACCATAAAAAACAACTTTAGGAACAAAGAAACAAATATCGAGAGGCGATACGGAACGAAACGCAATCTTGGTTGTCATTTTTCTGGTATTTAAAGGCAAAGGAAGAGAGTTATTCAGTCATGTCAATCACTAAGGAGTACCTTGACGAGTTAAAGGGCCGCATCGAGGAGGAACGCGAGGAGTTTCTGAAGGACCTTGTTGACGAAGAGGACTGGGTTGCGTGCAAAGGGAACGACCACGCCAATCTCTTTTACAAGAACGACCCGAAGTCATCGATCAAGAAGTTCAAGATATGTGCGGTTATGCCTTGTAGAATGGCGACAGTCATCAGCGCGTTACTTGACCCAGAGAATCGCGTTTCGTGGGAAGTTCTTGTTGACTCGATGAAGACCATTGAGACGTTTGAGGACGGTTATTCAATGCATTACATCACCACAAAGTCACTGGCAGCCGGTCTTGTTGGAAGAAGAGATTTTGTCCACTTTAGGAAGATCTACGACAATGTCGAGAAAAAGGAGAACGAACTAGACGCCAAAATGATCATCGACATCTCGTGCGAACACCCGGACTACGCCGACCAAAAGGGATTTGTCAGAGGAACCACTTTGTTCTGTGCAACGATTTTTAGAGAGTATTTGGAGAATGGCGTCTACGAAACCACGTATGAATCAGTCACTCAGACCGACATCAATGGAAGTTTGTTGTGTGCAACTTTGTTACTGAACGAAAACAGAAGATTTGAATTTTTTCGAAGTGGAAAAAAACAATTGAAATTACAATAACTGACAAACAGTGATTCCTTCGTTCTTTATTAACACGGCATCGAAGTCTTCTACATTGGAATGGTATCAGAAACTGGAGGGAAAGGCGCTTGCTCTTGAATCGGAGTTACCATTGGAAGCTCAGAGGACAATTTGAGACACATGTGTTTATTATTTCTGTTTACTTTACTGTTTTCGATTGGCAGAAACAATTTTTTTCCAAACAAGATATAGAAAATAAATCTCTGAACACAATTTTTGGGAATCGACTTTTGAACAAAAGTATTTTGAGGCGAAAATCCTTTTCTTTAGGAAAAAAAAACTTGGGTTGGAGCTATTTTTGATGGAAAAAATGAATCATCCCAAAACTCTTGTTTTTTTTACCAAGTGAAACAATTTTTGTTTGTTAAAAACAAAGTTAAATTATTTGTTTAGAATACTCATGAGAGTACTTAGAAATGGGATTTTTGCAGAGATAATATTTGACAACAAATATTTTGGAAATGGGACGAATAAATATAGTGTTTAAGGAGAAACTAAACACAGAAAGGAGAAACTTGAAAATTACTTAAACCGAAGTCCATGAGGTTTGTTGTTCTATTCCTCCGCACTATTGACACTCAGCAAAGCAAAGTTTTCAAATGCGAAAAAACCTAAGGCGTCTGAAGTCGTCAAACAAAAGAAGGAACAAAAACAAGCCCTCATCGACCAGGAACCACAAAACGAGAAAATTAAAGCAATTTATAAAGACGTCAAAGAGACTCAAGACGTTATGGCAGATGTTTGTTGTTATCATAAAATTATAGTTATTTGTATTATAAGTAATAATACGCTTTTACAAGTCAACACTGATTTGAACTCGAAATGGAATGGTTTTTTAATTAATACATCTAGTACATTAACATATTTACCAAATATTAGTAATATAATACATAAAATAATAAAGTATGGTACAGGTTTTATCCTTTGGAATGAGAAGTGGCGATTATGTGAACCTTTTTCATGTTTGGTATATGGTTTAACTATAAAACATAAGTTTTATAATAATAAAATGATAGTTAATCAATGAACGAAGAGCAAAGTGATGAATAGAATATAGATAAGATGACGGCGAACTTGGACCAAGCAGAAGAGTTGGAAGACAAAACAAACGATATGGTGGATAAGGCAAATACGTTCAAAAAGCAATCACACCAACTGAAAAAAGCGATGTGCTGGAGGAAGTGGAAATTGTACATCATTGGTGGGTCGATTGCTGCGATTGTTATCATTGTGATTTTGATCGTCATTATCGTTCCTATAGTGAATGCCGTGAAAAAAAATAATTAATTCAGTCCGTCGTTTTAGTTTGTTTTAACCATTTTTGTAGTTTTTAAGAAAAACACTTTGATATTAAGAAACTATTAATGCGATCATGACGTGTACTGCTCTGTTTAACTGTAATGATGTTCTAAATTATGAGGATCTCGTTTACTCAGTATTCATTATCTTTTAAACCAAATAAAATGATCTGAATGTGTAATATCATGTGTTGGTTACAAATAGAATAGCATATTCTGGTTTATATTGAATTTGAAATGTCTTTAAGACAATGAGCTATAATTTGGGTTTCAAAATTCATAATGAAACAAAGAATAAATGTTTATTAAATAATAACTTGTTGTTGCATAATATTGTATGTATTTGCTTTATAAAACAGTAAAAATGAAACGCACCTGAATGTAAATAACTGTCAATCCTCTTCGGTATTGCTCAATAAATAATGTAAATTAATTCATATCAATATTTAGTTGTTTTTTAATAATTTTTAATAAAAATTCGGTCTTTTCGAATATAATTGAATTGAAATTATATTAAATTCCATTGTAATTATTATGGAAGGATTTTTTATTTTTATTAAAAATAGTTCAATATGAAACAGACCGAAAAAAAATTTAAAAGGAAGAACAAATTGGCAAACTAAATAAAGCACAAATAATGAAGGCAGTCATTTTCGATTTCAATGGAACCCTTCTTTTTGACGGGAAATTACATAGAGAAGCATGGAACGCGATGTCCTTGAAATACAAAGGACGGCCATTTACCGATGTTGAGTGGGAAAATATCAATGGTTCGCCCAATTCGCGACTTGTGGAATTTGTTTTAAATCGGCAGGCAACACTAGAGGAGGTCAAAGACATAGGACTCGAGAAAGAAAAAATGTATCAAAAGTTTCTTGATCAAAGTGGGTTAGAATTGTGCGACGGGGCAATTTCACTCTTTGAATCTCTTGCGCGAGAAAAAGTGCCGTTTGGTATTGCGACATCGAGTGGGTGGGAAAACGTCGAAGTGTTCGTCGAAAAGTTCAAGTTATTGCATTGGTTTGATATGGACCACATCATTTATAATGATGGAAGTTTGAAAGGAAAACCGAATCCAGACATTTATTTAAAGGCCGCAAGCAAACTTGGGGCAAATCCAAAAAGATGTGTAGTCTTTGAAGACGCCATTTCGGGAGTCAAAAGTGCAACAAGTGCTGGGTGCATTGTCGTGGCTGTCGCTTCAGACTTGAAAAGTGACGTTTTAGAAAAGCTTGAAAGTGTAAAACTCGTTATAAACGATTTTAAAGCTATTAATGTCAACGCTTTGAATAAATTGGTCGAAGAATAAAACTAAGAAGTTGTCCTTCTTTATTTCATTTATATAATTCTTTTTAGTTCGTTTAATGATTTGTTCATTTCTGTTAAAAAATGTTAATTGTACAATTATAATTAAAGAATAATATTTGTTAAACCAACGAAAGTTCAAATCGTGTTTGAAACAATTAAATCAATTGTTTTTTTATAATATTTTTATATTTAAACAAACAAGACAAAAACGTTCTAGTGGAAAACAAATATACAAATAATAAAAAAAATATTTTATAATAATATTATAAATTAATACATATTTTTAAAACAGTTATTATTATACGAAAATGCCGTGTAAATAATTAAAAAAAGAAAATTATAATTAATACTAAAATATTAAAAAATTAATTATTAGACCAATTTATGATAGTAATAGTAATGAAAACTAGAAATGAAACCATACGAAACTAATAATTATGGAAAGAAAAACAAGATGAAACTGTTAAACCTTCGATTGTTATGAGTCGCCCAACCACCCCATTTTCCCCACTAATAATTTCTAACGATTCAGCTGAGAGTTGGGCGAAACACATGGTGGAAGACCCATCCTCGTCCACTTGGTTTTCACATTCAAAACATTTTTTTGTGTATACCATTGCAGGAAAACCGGCGTTTTCAAGGTACGGGTCTGACGTCGAATTAGCGCCGTTCATGGCGACACTAATTGCAATTACTTCTGTTGTGAACGACAACAAAGACGAACTGAACTATTTACGAAGCAAAGATCACTTATTTGTGTTTATGTCGAAAGGACCACTCCAGTTTTGTTGTGCATCGAAGACGGGAGAAAACGTCTTTATAATCCAAAGACAGTTGGAGTTTTTGTTCCATGCGATGTGCTCGATCGTCCCGTTTCCAACCATTCAGTCAATTTTCGACAAGTCGTATGGCACAGATTTCCGAAATATAATTGGGGGAACATACAACCAACTTAAATCGGCAATCACTCATGCAAACACTTCGGCTGGTGTGGTACATAACGCGTACGACATTTATCAATTTGCACCATCAGAAAGAGCTGTGATGACCGAAGCACTGCAAAAGGCTGTTTCGAGCACAAATATCGAATTATTTAAAAGTAATAATGACTGCATTCTGTTCGCAGGAGTGCTGAAAGAAGGGAAAATCGTGTGTTTGGGAAAAAGGTCTGCACAACTCACACCTATGGACTCACAAGTGCTTATCGCTTTTGTGAACTCGATTTCCGCAAGAGGGACAATATCATGGATGCCCCTGTGTTTGAGCGACTTCAACGGTTTGTTTTGGAAAATATCGAATTTGGGCGAATTAAAACTATTTGTTTCTAATAAAAAATCATTTCAATAGTTTTGCGATAAAAAATGTTGGAATTGTGTTAAAAAGTGAAAGCAAAATTATAAAAAGCTGAAATTCAAATGACAAAAAGAAAAAGCACAAATCCACGTGTTTGTGAATTATTTGACCGAAGACTCGGCAATTGTCTTTTGCGCAACACAGCCAACTTCACTGCCACATCTGACAAGATGTTGCGAGTCCTTTGAAAGGGCAATCAAGGCCACAAAGGCGTTTTCTCAAATTGAAAATCCATCGCAAACAATTTGTCCATTTTTATCGAAAAGGGAAATTCTTCATTTTATTGTGTTTGGGAAGACAGATAATCAGGTCTCGGCGTCATCTTATACCGTACACACAACACGAAAAGAACAGAAAAAACTGTTTAGGGTGTATGAAACTTTATACGTAGCAACTGCCGTCGAAGGTTTCAAACAAGAAATGATTTGCGATGAAAATGTAGTTGTTGTAAGCGTCGAAAATAACACGCATTTTGCGTTTGTCAGTTTTCCGAAAATGGTTGACAAGAACAAAATCAACAAAATTTCGACGAACGTACTTTCGTGGGCTGTCAAGGAAGACTCGTTGTGGGTCAAGAAATTTGCTCAGTTTTCATAGATAAATGTATCGCTTTTTGTTTTTCTTTATAATTTACAGAAAAGAAAGTTTTTTATTAATTTTATTTATCGAATTGATATGACTTCTATATCAGTGACAACTCTTCTAAATAGTGTAAGAAGGACTCATACGAAATTCCAAAACTTGAATTTTTTTACTGTCGTATGTAATACAATTATTTATTAAATAAAATAGTACTTTAGAAGTGTAATTATTTGAAACTAACAACTTTACTATTCAAAAAAAGACCAAAGAAATACCAGAAATTTTATTTCGAACAACAAAGATAAAACCTATTAATGATAGTAATTTAAATTAGAATAAACCATTACTCCACTCTTGTTCTTCTTTTGGAAACGTTCTTCTACTTGTGAAAGAATAGGAGAGAAGGCAAACAACAAGTCCGAGCGAATCTTCTGAAGTTCTTCCAAGCTCTTTTTCTTTGACTCGCTATAAAAGACCGACGAGAACGAAGAAAGCAGAGATAATGGCGGACGAGTGCATCAAAACGATTCGTATGGTAGCGTGTGAGATGATCAACAAAGCAAACAGTGGGCACCCCGGTGTTCCCACTGGCTGTGCTGCTATTGCGTACACCCTTTATACTCGTCACCTCAAATTTACACCAAAAGCAAGCAACTGGTTGAGCCGTGACAGATTTGTTCTATCTAATGGCCACGGTTCGTCCCTTTTGTATTTAATGAATCATCTTTGTGGATACAAAGTGAGTCTGGACGACTTAAAACAATTCAGACAACTCGACTCGTTGACTCCGGGACATCCCGAGTATCATCACACTGATGGAGTTGAGGTCACTACTGGTCCTCTAGGTGCCGGTATGGCTACTGCTGTTGGTCTTGCTATAGCCGAAAGACATATGGCTGCTGAGTTTAATAAACCAAACTATGAATTAGTGAACAATTACACTTATGTGTTGCTTGGCGATGGGTGCTTAATGGAAGGAGTCACTTCAGAAGCTTCTTCATTGGCTGGGCACTTGAAGTTGAATAAATTGATTTGTTTGTACGACGACAACCACATCACTATAGATGGTGACACGTCTCTTGCATTCACTGAGAACGTCAAAGAACGATATGAGGCGTATGGATGGAATGTCTTGCATTGCGATGGAAATTGCGTCGAACAGGTCAATGCGGCAATCACTCTTGCGAAATCCTCCGAGAGACCAACACTCATTATGTGCAAAACTCTCATCGGGTGCGGTCTCCCAAATAAACAGGGGACTTGTAAAGCACATGGCGAACCCCCAGGAGCCGACCTTAACTTGATGAAAGAGAATTATAAGATGACTGAAGAGTTCAAAATCTCTGAGACGGTGTACTCAGAGTTCCATGGTGCGGCAGAGAAAGGTGCGAAATTGTATGATGAATGGGAGACTTTATATACCAAATATGCTTCAGAATACCCAAAGGAATACGCCGAGTTAGAAAGAAGAATCAAACGCGACACCTCTAAAGTGTCTTCGATGTTCACTGAAGAACTTGAAAAGAACGAGAAAGGTGAAGCGACAAGAATTTCGTCATGCACTGCTTTTAAGGAACTTGCTAAAGAACTTCCAGAGACCATAGGAGGGACTGCGGATTTAGGAGCTTCCGTCAAAGTTGTCATTCCAGGGAAGTCATTTGATGAAGGGTATGATGGGAGAAACATTCACTTTGGTATCCGAGAACATGCGATGGGAAATATTACAAACGGGATTAGTATCTATGGAGGACTTATTGGGTATTGCTCCACTTTCTTCGTCTTTTCTGATTACTTGAGACCAACCGTCAGACTCGCTGCTCTTTCTGGATACCCGGCAATTTACGTCTTCACACACGACTCAATTGGAGTCGGAGAGGATGGACCAACACATCAACCAATCGAGCATTTGATGTCATTCAGAGCTATGCCAAATGTCGTCGTCTTAAGACCATCGGACGCTAACGAGACTCGTGTCGCATGGAAATTTGCGGTGCAGCACAAGACTGGCCCAACACTTTTGATCTTTGCAAGACAGAATAGCGCAATTATTGACAGAAAAGAATTCGCTAAGTCAGAAAATTTGTTGAAGGGCGCTTACGTGTTGAAGGACTTTGGAACACCAAAAGTCATTTTGATCGCGACAGGGACTGAAGTCGACTTAGCAATTAAAGCTGCTAAGAAATTGGAGACTGAGGGCGTCGGAGCAAGAGTTGTCTCAATGCCATCGTGGGAATTGTTCGAACAACAAACTAAAGAATACAAGGAAAGTGTTTTGCCAAGAAGCATCAGAGCCAGAGTGTCAGTCGAGGCTGGAGCAACTTTCGGATGGGAGAAATATATCGGAATGGACGGCGTTGCGGTTGGAATGAATTCATTCGGAGCATCTGCCCCCATAGGAGCCGTTTACAAGAAGTTTGGCATTACAGAAGAACACGTTGTGGAGGCTGCTAAGATTAGCATCACAAATTCTTTAATTTAAATTTTTTTCTCATCGTTTTGTTCGAAGCAGTTTTAATATATAGTTTAAGTATAGTATATTTGTGGTTTTTATAATTTGAATTGACAATTGTTTTTATTTGTAATTGTTTTTTAAAAGTTAGTGATAAAATTTGTTTTATTGTAAAATTTATAATATAATAATTATTATTTAATTAAATAAAAGTTTAAAAAAAAAAGAAATGTAATTCATTTCTGTTTTTATCGCATCGATATTTTTTTTTATAGTGAATAGTTTAAATATAGCAAAGTAAACTATAATATATAGTAAAATTTGAATAAAAATAAAAAAGTGTGGTTGCATCTTTTTTTAAAAAAACATCAGTTTAAAAATATTATTTATTGAAATTATTGACAATAAATAATTCCAACAAATATATTATGTAATTGTTTGTCAAAGGAATTTTTTGTTGCAAATCTTTAATGATATGATTGTTTATTTATTTTTCAACTGGTTATTCTTTGAGGCGTGCAACAATTTTATACATTGTTTTCAAATCTTAATTTATTGTTAAATTTAAACAGTGATTTTCATTAAAAATATTAAAACAAGCTTTTTAATAATTTATTTACACACGACAATTATTTGTATTTGAAATAAAATATTATAATATTCTTTTTGTACTTTTTTTAAGGTGAAGAGGAAAAATAACAGCTTATTTAAAAGAAAGAAGTACAAAAAGAATATCACAGTATTATGATATTTAAAATTTAAGGTATTAAAATCTGTTTTTTATGATACTATTTTTTATCTTTTGACTTGTCATGAAATGAATTTGATCATTAGTATAACACAAAGAATAAATATGTTTCTATGATTTAAAAATTATTTTTTAAAATATGCTACCCCTTTTTTGTCGAAGATTGAATGGTAATTAGATACAAGCATACGTTTTAAGAATGAAAGGGTATGACAATTAGAATTCTCACAAGAGTAGATATTTTTTTAAAAAACAAACCTAAAAACACTTTTTATCAAACAATCTTTGGTTTTTTGTTGGATAAAATTACGTTTTTAAGAAACCCCATTAATAAAAAAATTCATTTTTCGGGAGATAATATTGTACTTGTTAACTTTTCATTCATAATTGTATATTTCCAATGATACTTATAAATTTTTATATATAAGATGAAGAACATGAAATATACAATTAAAATGGTAATAATTGGATTGTAAAAGCATATGATAATGATAATTATAATAAACAATCTTATGAATACTATTTTACATAAAACTATTTGGTTAGTAAAAAAAATAAAAGAATGCAAACAGAAAATTATTAATATGTTCAAAAAAATATGACAACTCAATTGAATTATTTTTTTAAATCAACAATATCAATAAAAAATTCATTTTTTTTTGTTATAATAAATTTATTTAAAATTTATATTTCCAATTGAATCAGAGTTTCCAAAAAAAACAAGATAAGCCAAGTTAAGTGTTAAGAACAATACTCCTGCTTTTATAGATTTGTAAAATTATAATAGACAAAGTGATAAGTTTGGAAAAATCATTTTTTGGACACTCTGTTTAAATTGATAAACAAAACTAATAATTTTTTTAACTTTATTTATTATTAAATTAGTGAAGTTTTTCATAATATATGATTGATTTACTATAAATTTAGCAAATAAAAATGTTTGACAAAAAAACCAAAAAAATGATTTTTTCGCACTTTTTCGTACAATTTATCGTTTTTATAATTACAAAAACAATTTAATTATTTCATTTATTAATTTGAAATAATAAATGAATAAATTATTATTTATTTTATATTTTTATTATTTTTATAATATCAATATGACAAACAAAAAATTTTATTATATTTATTAATAATCTTATTATAAACTATAATTACTTTTTTATATATTAAATTATCAAAAATAGAAAAAAAAACAAAAAAAAAGTTTCATGATAACTTAAAATCAGTTATTTTAAATTTTAATTCAATAAAATTTTTTATTGTACAACATCTAGTGTTTATTAAACCCATCATTTTATTTCTATCCAAGTTTAGCATACATTTTAAATAAAAAACTTTAATTTTTTCAACAACATTAACCCTTCTCACTATGCAAGAATTATAAATAACTATTTATTTCAATATAAAAAAACAACTCAAAGTTTGTCAGTTCTTGGTCGATGTCAAATTAAATTTGTTCATTTGAAAAGAAACAAGAACCAAAGAACAACGACAAAAGACAATAAATTCATCAAAATATTGAAAATATTGAAACTTTGTTTTTTTTTATTTTTTAAAATAATTTTTAATGAAATAATTATATTCAAAAAATAGTTTTTTGTTTTTTTACATGAGTCTGCTTCTTGTAAGTTTAATATTTTTATTTTTTTGCAAAATTAAAACAAAATTAAAGGTTAAAAATATTTTTTTCAATTACAACTTTTTGTTTGAATATCAAATACATTCTTTCGTCGTTGGTTGTATTATAAAAAATAAACATAACAGTTTATCGTTGATCTCTTGGTGGTCAATATGAACAGGTACTTTTTGTTTTTAATTTAATTTTTAAAAAATAAATTTTATTAACAAACTTGTACAGATAGTAGAAAAATAGGGTGTCAGGAATAAATTGGGTGTCAAATAAATTAGGGATTAGTTAATGTAAAAAAAATGGGTTTCTTTTTTTTTATTTTTTCCCCTCACAAAAAAAAATATAAAAAACCATTAAATAACTCAAAATCAATCTGACACCCAATTTATTCTTGACACCCAAATTTTCTACTATCTGTAACACATTATATTTTTAAAGTGTTGTTTTATTAATTGAACAATTTAACAATAAATTGATGTTAGTATTTTATTTTTTTATTATAATTTTAATCGTAATTATTTTAATAAACATATATTATAATACCACATAATCGTTTTTTTTAATTTCTTAGTCATTTAAAACATCAAATTAACAATAACGACATATGGCTTCGTAAAACAATCAGAAACATTTATATTGATAATTATACAATATATTAATGTCAATTATCATTAAAAACTATCAGATTACAACACAAATAAAAATTTATTTTTTTAAAAAAAAGCATCTAATTTTTTCAATTGACATTTTTATGGCTAAACAATTCACCGAAAAAATTTCCAAATACGGTTTTTGAAGAGCGGATTTTTTCAAGAGCGATCATTTTGGACTTAAACTAAAATGTGGTTTTCTATTGAGCGGTTTTTAAGGTTTGATTGGCTAAAAATGCCCGTTTTTAACAGAACAATAGTTACCATACCCTCCCGCTCTAAGGTTTGACTGTATAAAAAACAAAACAGTTATTTGGTACTCACGCCTTGTTTCTTTTTATTAACAAAACGGTTTAACGTTTTATCATATACTGATATTCTAGAAATAATTCACTTTCATTTTTTTGTTTATATTGGTTTGCATGTTTTTTGTTTTCTAAAAAAATGTATTTTTTTTACCAACAATATTTTGAATGAAATAAGTAAAGTTTTCTTATAATTTGGGCAAATTTAAAGTACAGTAGAAACTCTATCGGCGTGTGGTTTTGACCAATCAAAAGTTGCCTACACACCGATAGAATATTATGATTTCCCATATATTTGGCACCAAAACCCGCAAAAATAATTTCAATTGCAAATTTGTTTTTATTTTAAAAGAGTAAAGACTTGGTAATAAAAACTTAAAAAGAGAAAAATTATCAAACAGAAATAAATTCAAAAAAGATAAGAGAAGAAAAGCATAAAATGCTCTTCAAAAAATATTAAACTTTAAATGATAATAAAAAATGCACCGACTTCCACACCAATCACAAGAGCACGCTTGTGATTGGTGTGAGGACAGAATTGATACCACAAAACTTAACAATTTCAGCAAGGAAGTCACAGATATTTACGACACATGCAGACAATAAGCCTGACGTGCTCATCCAAGTCTTTGAGGGCGAGGCATCTATGACATCACATTGCAACCTGCTTGGAAAGTTTGGGTTGTTTGGTATCTTATTAGCACCACATGGAGTCTCACAGTTGAAGTCAC